TGGAAACACACATGCACCCAGGCATGCAAGATCAGTCAGGGTCTGACAAGAAGTAGAATGGCACTCAATCCAACTAAAAAAGCAACAGTGAGTGTCTGTAATAACTCCCTTTAGGCTGGGGAAGGAAAGGACAAAATATGTTGAGGTCCATGAAGAATAGCCACATTGGGAGGCCTATAGCACCCCAGGCCAAGAAAGCAGGAAGAGAAGTGGCAGGCTACCCAAGCCCAGTGTGAGCTAGATGTGGGTCAGGGCTTGCCTTGCAGGAGCAGCCTTGGTGATAGGATAGGGAACCTAAGACTCATCAACGGGATAAACACACTGCCTTCTTCCTCCTTCCTTCCTATCTTCTCAACTCTTTGAATCCAATAGCAAACCGACCAGCAGGGAAGCCAGCAATCGCCAACCCCTGGGAATCCTGGGACATAGGGCCAGACAGATAAAATCAAACAGAGATAGAGCTAGGGGCAAACAAAGAAAGACCATCTGTCACCAGCCCCAGCAGAGGATTTTCCTAAGGGTAGTCTATAAGCCACACATACGCTGAAAGAATGGTGGGTACAGACCTTGGGCTTTCTGATGGCTAACTATGACCTTTTCTGACTAAGTTCTTGAAGAAGTAGGCTGTTCCCATGTTCACCACTTTCCTTATCTACCATTCTTTCTTTCCCACAATCTACTAATTGGATGCTAAGCACATCCTTGGGCTAAAGTCAAAGCAGAGTGTTTATTTACATTTACTTAATATCCTTTGAGTTCCTGCAAGTCCATCTTGTCTACTACTCTTCAAACTTCTTCAGATAGACATCATCCCACATCTCTGTGCCTCTTGCCTCATGGACAACATTCTCTAAGACCCAAACTCAAGTTCCTCTTCTCTGCCTCCCCTCTTAGATGCAGCTTATCTACTTTTTAGTTCTCAATCTTTTTTTCTGTCTGCAAATTCCATGTGAGCAAGTCAACCAATATCAATCCTGTCAAATAATCAGTGGCTTGCAGATTGCTAATACTAATCAGCTAATTAGAACTGCAAGAATTGAGTGTTTCTAGCTGTGTGGTATTACGGCTATTGTTGGGCTGGTGAGATGGTTCAGGGAGAAAGGTAATTGCTACCAAGCCGGATGACTTGAGTCTGATCTCCAAGATCCACAAGGTAGGAAGAGCGAGCTAACCCCTGAAAGTTACTCTTGGACCTTCCTGCTTTTCCTGGGATTCTGAGTCACAGAGTTGGGTCTTCACAAGCCAATGGCAGTGATTAAAAGTTCAGTCTTGTGTCAGGCTAGTCAACTCAAGTACACAAAGCCTCAGGCACACTTCAGCTCAGTGAGGTCTTCATCTACAGCTATTTCAAACATTTTGGAAGCCAACATCCTGCCTTTCTGAAGACTAGGTCTTGTCTGAATAAAACAGGAAGTGATTCTTATCTCTGCTTTTCAGGGAAGCGATTAACATTCATTTCTTCTTGTTTACATTTTACCACTGTTGCCCACTTTATGTTACTTTTTGATTATGTTTTTTGATGATGTGATTAATGTGTAATCAACCTGTTGCATTTCCTAGTCTGTCCTGTCTTATAAAATGATGCTGAGATTTGCCACTTTGGGGACGAGGCATCCATCACCTAGCCAAGCATATGTGAACATACAGATACTTAAGAACTAAGCAAATGAGAAGATAATTTGGACTGATGGGAATGCTAGCCCCTCCCCCACCCAACATGATTTCAGTGTATTTCTTACGGGATGCACTCATGAAAAGGACTTTTAAGAAATTGTGGATGTGAATATGTTTCTCAAAAGTTTAAATTATAAAATAGTTTTATAATAAAGTATTTACATTAATTACTTTAATAGAAAAAAAGTTCAGTCTTGCATACTGTCCCAAATGTGTTCCTTGTAGATGCCATTTTGAACACATTAATAATACCAAGAGTCATCAATAATGCATCAGTGTTGCACTGAGGACAGAAATCAAAACAGTTCCCCTTGGTGTCATTTAACCAAGATTGAGCCCAGATTTGAATAGTCTACTCTACTTTCTCTGTATCTGTGGTATGAATCTGAATCTGCGACTGCCTGAAGGCTGTCTTATCAACCTGTTGTCCCTATCTTTCTGTGTGACCCTAACAAAGAGTTTCTATTTTATATTTATAAAGAGCACACACAGGGAAAGAATAAGGAACACTTTACAGTGTTTTACAAGGAATTAAGTCACTGACTCCAGCTGATTCCAACTCACCCAGCAACAAACACTATTACAAACATCATTTCTTAAGCAATATCCATACATTACACCCAGTACTTAAGATGGATTATATAAAGCTGTTTCCAACCACAAAGACACATGCATTATTCGTGGGTAGGGGGAATGGAAGTGTATATATGTTAAAATCACAGCTATACATTAGTGTAGGTTTAAGTGGTGGTGACACATGCCTTTAATCCCAACCCTTGACCTCTGAATTAGAGGCCATCCTGGTCTACATAGTAAGGTCCAGGACAGCCAGGGCTACACAGAGAAATCTTATCTCAACAAACAAACAAACAAACAAAAGTTGATTTCATGTGATAGCCAAGGCAAGTAAGTTTGATGGCCACACTGTCCTCTTAAAAGCACATTAAATAAACAGGCTGAGTACACAGTAGGGTAGCAGTCTTAGGGCTTAAGTGACGTCAAAGTTTATTATTAACTCTGGCTGTGAAGCCCAGCAAGAGTGTCTGAGCATAAAGAGAGATTTTCATGACATTCCATCACCACATATGGACTCCATCAGTGTGTCTGTCTTAATTACTTGTGTCTTCCTTCTCAGTCTTGACAACACTTTGGAGTTATCTGGGAATTTGAAAACTGCCAGTACTCAAACACTGATTCTAACTAAAGGGTACATTCACTGATATTTTTCCTTCTGCTGGATATGAACCCAGGACTTTGCACGTGTTGCACCAGAGTCTGTAGTATCTCCAGCCCCAAACCAGGACCTTTCTTAAAGTTCTATGATTGTGTCTAGCATGAAGGCAAGGTTAGTCACCATTGTTGCAGACCTTCACTGTAGAGATCGTTCAGGAAGAGGTGACATGCTGTAGAGACACTACATGCAGTAGTGACAAGAAACCGAGGCAAATTCTCTTGGGTTTGGCTCTTTTTGAAACTGTAGCCTCTGCAAGCATGGAGTTCCACACTTTGGAGGGGTCGGGTCAGGGCTTCTGTATTCTTCTCTGTTCCCAGAATTGAGCCCTTCCCCAAATGAGATAGTCACCCAATTTCTCGGCCCCTGCTCATCTCGCCACTGTCTTCTTTCATGTGATTTGTATTAAGAGTCACACATAACTTGGATGGCATGGAAGTGGCCCCTGGTTATAACAAACACTAGTAACAGCAAGTGACACTAGTAACTCAGCACTTATTCCATGCACTGACTGACTTACACATAGCTTCTTACTCATTGCACAATATTGCCAAGAACTATCAGTTCGCAGTTTATAAATGAAGAAACTAAGAGCCAGAGGTTATGGTGGTTTGAATAAGAATGCCCCCCCACCCCCAGTGCTGAATATTTTACAGCAACTTGATATAAGCTAAAATTATCCGAGAAGAGGAAACCTCAATTGAGAAAATGCCTCCAAGCTGGGCAGTGGTGATGCATGCCCTTAATCCCAGAACTCCAGAGGCAGAGACAGCCTGATCTATAGGGGGAGTTTCAGGACAGCCAGGGCTACATGGGGAAATCTTGTCTCAAAAAAAAAAAAAAAAAAAAAGGAAGGAAAGAAGGAAGGAAGGAGGACAGGAAGAAAGGAAGGAAGAGAGGGGGAGAAGAAAAGAAAGAAAATGACTCTATAAGATCAGGCTGTAGGAAGCCTATAAGACATTTTCTTAATTGGTGACTAATGGAGGAGGGCCCCAGCCATTTGCTTGAGGGGCCACCACTGGGCTGGTGGTCCTAGGTTCTATAAGAAAGCAGGCTAAGCAATCCACAAGCTAATAAGAAGCACTCCTCCGTGGCCTCTGTGTCAGCTCCTGCCTCTAGTTTCCTGCCTGTTTGGATTCTTGTCCTGACTTCCTTTGATGATGAATGCTGATGTGGAAGTGTAAGCCTAAAAAAACTTTCCTTCCCAAGCTGCTATTGGCCATGGTATTTCATCACAGCAATAGTAACTTCACTAAGACACCCCCAAAGACTCATGGATATTGGAATGCTAAGTCATCAGGGAGTATCACTACTTGAGAAGGATTAGGAAGTGTGGCTTTGTTGGAGTAGGTGTGGCCTTGTTGGAGGAAGTGTGTCACTGGGGGTGGGCTTTAAGTTTCAAATGCTCAAGCCAGGCCCCCTGGTTCTCCCTTCCTTCTACCTATGTAGATGTAAAACTTTCAGCTACTTCCCCAACACCATGTGCATCTTTGAGCTTCTATGTTCCCCTCCATAATGATAATGGACTAAACCTCTGAACTGTAAGCCAGCCACAATTAAGTGTTTTTCTTTATACAGTTGCTGTGGTCATGGTGTGTCTTCACAGCAACAGAACAGCGAGTAAACAGATGAGTTCTACAGCATTACACAGTAAGAAAGTAACAGAGCCAGGACTAGAAATGCCTATCCGATTCCATGCCCTTCAAAAGCCAGGCTGTTGAATGTGTTACTTCCTTCAGATAATACAGCCATGTTCCACTGAGGAATTTCAGTGCTGTAATCCAAAGAAGCAGCTGCTTGTAGAGATTTCCAACTGAGACAGATAGACGAAAACTTACTTCCAACTCCATCCCCACATCCACATAGTAAATGCTTAGGGTCAAACACACCCTGAACCAATTGCCCACAGAATATAGCCAAGGTGGTGTGGGTGATGATCTTACCTACTCTCCAGTGTTGAGTCTCAACTTTCTCCACTAATCATTTACAGACTGTTGACAGACATTTGAACCTGGGGTCAAGGTGAACATCCCCAGTTATACAACAAACTCTATAAAGACCTTTATTAGATGAGTGTGTGTGTCACTGTAGAGCCATGGTGGACCACAGTCTAGGATGGCTCAGCACAATGAATGTGCTCACCACAGCATTGCTTCTAGTCACCCTGCAGTATTGCCATGCTCTGAGTCCCACCAACTGTGATGCTTCCGAGCCTTCGGCTGAGAAAGTTCTAGACCTGATCAATAAAGGGCGGAGGAATGGCTATGCTTTCGAGCTGCTTCGAGTCTCTGATGCTCACCTGGACAGAGTGGTGAGAAATGGCCAATGAGGAGCTGAGCTGGGAGACATGTGTGAAGGGGAAAAGGAACTGGTGCCCCTGAGCAGACTGTTTTGCATAATTATTGGCTTTGATCAGGCTTTACTGAGCCCATGGAATATTAAGCACTTAGAAAAGAAAAACAAACCAAAAGTAGAATAGCTGTGCACATCAAGGAAATACCAGTCTGCTAAATGCACACAGGCCAACTGTATAACATAGGATGCATTTTGTGACCATGTGCCTGGCAAAGACATTGGAGCAATTTAATGACATCTCTTAATATGAAACAGAAAGGTGCTGGTGGGTTCTGGAGAATGGATGGGATTTGAATAGGTGTATTCTAGTGCATTATCTCCTCTAGGAGAACAGGGAATCCCAAAGATGTGCATTGCAAAACAATTGAATAATCATGGAGGGAGTTACAGAAGTTCAACAGGGATCTGGGAAGGCCGGATTTAAGTGTGAAGATGGGAGAGAACAAACTTATTGTCTTCATTTAGATTGTACGGTTGTTTAGAATGGATTTGATAGGGACTATGGAGAGATGTTGATTCCTCCCACTGCAACAATAACAGTAACAGCAACAATAGCCTACCTTTTCTCTGGTGGAATATCTGAAAGCAGGAAGCCAGCCCAAGGATGGGAAGCCAGACCATGGATAACTGCAGACAGAGCATAAAGCAATTATTTTTTTTTTTTTACAGCAATGGAGATGGGGAAGCATGGCTTAGTGCAGAAAACGGGAGCACAGGAACTTAAGTCACAATTTAATGACCATCTCTGCCCCTCTAAGCTCCTTGCCACATGTGTTAGGCACAGGATGGAAGAGCATGGCGCTACTTCTGAACAGCAGTACAGACAGGTGGGAGGAGGGGACACAATGAGACAGACGAGACAGAGGCAGGTGACAGGAACATGAACTAAGAAGCTGTTCATGTATTCAGGAACTCGGAGAAGAGGACTAGACCAAGGGAGTGGCAAAGGAAAAGGAATAGACAGGACACAAGAGACATTTCAATGAAAAGCCGTTCAGCCTGGTTGGTGATTGGCCAAAGCAAAGAAACTGATCAAAGCAAGATTAATTTATCTTTTTCCTTGCTTATTTTGTTTGGCTGCTGCTGTTGCTATTAATAGCTCAGGCTGGTCTTGAACTCTTGATCCCCCTGAGCTTTGAAGTCATAGTCATGAGCCCCGGGCCCATGCAATTTTTATTTGTATAGCTAGAACCCAAGTAAAGGATTAATGAAGCCACTGAGGACTAAACCAACAGGACCATTAAAGGCCAGAGAAGAGACATCCTGCCTTAAGGAGGATTTAGACATCACTATTTGAAGCTGTTTATTCAAACATGTAGATTAAAAACACATTCAAGGAATATTCACAGAGATTTGGGTGTGCCAAGAAATTTTGTTTAAGAAGGAAAATTGCTGCACAGTGGTGTCAGTAAACTCAGCACTTGGGAATGTGAAGCCAGAAGATTTATTCCAAGCCAGCTTGGGTCCTCACATCCTGGGATCCTGTTCTAAAACAGGAAAAAGAAGGAACAAGGGACAGGAAAATGGAAAGAGGATGGAGGGGGGGAAGAAGAGGAAGGAAGAAAAGGAAAAGGAAGAAATTGCTTTCATTAAAAACAAAAGCAAACCAAAAACAAGATATCTCCAGGTTCCCACATCATACTGGTCTGTTCCTTACTTGTCATCCTCAGGGAAATGCCACCGTCTACTACTTAGTCCTAGATGTGAAGGAATCTGACTGTTGGGTCTTATCCACAAAATCCCGGGATGTCTGTCTTCTGGCTATTTCTGGTCGGCCATCTGAAATAGTAAGTAACTGGGCCCAGTGTTCCTCTTATGTTTCTTCTATCCACTCCACTGACTCAGAAAAGCCATATATGCTAGAAAAAAACTGCTGATGCCTTTAGTCATGAAGATGATGTCAACCTTAAATAGTACTCTCTTAGACCATTCCTGGGAACCCTGTTGAAGGTAAGTCAGTAGGACTTGTGCCTACCCGCCACCGGGGAAAACATCACCAGCTGCCAGTCTTGGGCAAATCACCAATCCATCTTAGACTTCAGTCTCCTCAACTCTAAAGTGACATCATTGAGGTAAAGGAAGTCCCATGTCATTTCCAGACCACACAGTCTATGAATGTATGAACTGGGAATGGTGTGCCTTGAAGAGTGGTTCTGTTTGCATGGCCATTGTTGCCATGCATGTTGGACCTGGTTACAGGTCAGTTTCCCTGTCACACATGAGAGCACAAAGAAATAAGCAGACATGATGTCAGGTCCAGAAGTGAGAGTCTTATACCTCAAGGGGCCCTAGTTCTGTCTCCTTTGAAAAATGTTTAGGATGTGGTCAAATCCATTTAAACAGTTGCTCTCACACATTGCTCTCATACATTGGGGTGCCAATGGTGTGCAGCACACAGGGCAGGCTGAGAAGGCAGCTCTGGGACAAGACTGATGAAGGGATCTCCAAATGCACCTTAAATGAGATGGTGTTCCCTCATAGGCGATCTGAAGCACATAGTTCCATAAGGGCTTAAAACCCTCTCTTTTACAGGTGATTGGACAATGCAAGATAATTGCTACAAGATACTCAAATGAGTCTCAAGATTTTAGAGTGAATAACTATAACTGCACCACAAGTTCTGGTAAGGTCATCTGCCGAAGTACTAATTAATTCCAAATTAACATAGAACCAGCTAATACAGTGCTGTTCATTAGGTAACAGCATGATAGACTTCAGAAGGGCCCCTGCCCTTGCATGAACATTAATATTCAGTCTCCTGAAAATAGACAACAGTTCTCCACCTCTGGTATAAGTCATATAAAGAGACAACACACTCCATCGCAGAGACTTAGTTGTGAGTTTAGGCCAGCGTGAGGTTAAATTCAAACCTCATTATTTACCAGTTACCTCAGAGTCAACACTGTTGGAATGGAATCAAGTCTAGATTTTGTTTCCAAGGTTATGAACTTCTGCCAGCCCAATTATTTTATCTCCAAAATAATTGTCACTTGGGGAACAGGCTACTTAACCTCTTTTGGCTTTCCTCATTTAGGATTCTTGTTGGAATCAAATAGAATGTGTGCTCTTCACTTGGTAAGAATTGGCTCCAACAGTTAAAAGTTCTATACTATTCTACAGTGTACAAAGTAGTTATATATTGTATTATACCGTGCATTAATCATTTCATTTAATCTATGGAGTAATCATTGTAAAACTTTCTGTTCTAGAGATAAAAAAGATTCAAACCTGTGTTCTCAGAAGCAAATGGTGACACAACAGACATGACTACACCTACACCTACATCTCTACAGGGTTGGCTCCAGAGCCCATGTGCCGCCTCTTGTTTATTTTTTTCTGAAAGAATTAGTTTTAAAAGGGCAGATTTCGAGTCAAGATGGAGAGTCTGGAGAAGGCAGATCCGCCAGCCGCCTCTCCCAGAAAATGAAAAGCTGTGGATTCCTTCCAGACTAATGTGGTTTGCACAAGCCAGACCCCTGAAACAGCGTTCCTGGTGATCCAACATTCAAAACAGCTTGAACAAGACAGTCTTACAGACTAAAGCCAGGATTTCTACATGTTCTTAGGATCCCCATGACAGTGCCCCCTCTCAGCAGGAAGTAGTTTGGAAAGAACGACGCCCAAATTCCCAAATATTGTTTATAAATGCTTATTTCCATTTAAATGGACTTGGTTATAAATGTTTAATGATCACAACCAATATCTTTTTAAAGGTAAAAAGAAAATTATGGTATAGATATGAATACTTTGTTTTGGAATGGATTTTCATTTATTGATACAATTTAAGGTCAATTTTGTGATGTGTATATTCTCCTTTTGTTTAGGTATTGTGTTTATATAGTTCATTTTAATTTGTAATGTATAATGTATAATTTAGTTCAGATTATAGATAGTTACCTATAATAGTCAAAACTTATAGCTAGGTGAGTTAGGTTTTCTAGATAAACAGAGATGTATTTGAGATAGATAGGCATTCTTCAAAACTTTCAAAGACCTACAGAATATGACATTTAAAATGGTTTAGGGTTTTTCTTGACAGTGAGACATAAATGCTCCTGGCAACACCACCTGCATCAAAAAGAAAGATGGACATCGAAGAAACGCATTATAAAGTTTGCTTCCAATATGGCAAGACTAGCAGCCATGTGGACAAGATACTGCTCTTGTCCAAACTGTTTGACTTTATGCTGTATAAACTGGACATTCAGGACCCATAGAAAAGTGACTGCTGATTCAAGATGGACATTGCTACAGAGTTCCTGCTTTGTGGAAGAGTCTGCCAGACAGTCTGCAGGACACACAAAAAAAGTGACTGACAAACTGCCAATACAAGAAGACAGTTTAAAGTTTCCTACTTTGCTGAAGAGTCTGCCAGACACAATATGGCCTATGGGCTGAAGATGGAAGATTACAGAACAACTTCAGGTGACTGACCAGGAGAGCTGTCTCTGTCATTTCTAGAGTTTATATACTATCCTTCTGTGGTCTTTGAAGGAGTTGAAGACAGATAGTTATGGTTATAGTTTTCCTTAGTTAGGCTTAAAGATAAGATACATATAGGACTTTAGACTCACAAATATAGGATAAATGATAGAATAGTTTCTTAAATCTTACTAAATGTTAACTGTGATTCTTATTTGATAACTGTTATGTGATATATTTTGCTATGTTAAGGTTAAAACCCTTCTTTTTATTTAGACAGAAAAAGAAGAGATGATGGGAGATGTCATTCTGTATATGTTTCTCATACTGGTTAATGAATAAAGCACTGTTGACCAATAGGAAAGGAAGATAGGAGGGACTAGGAGACAAGGAGGAAACAGGAAGTAGTAAGGAGGAGTCAACATGGAGAGTCTAGAGAAGGCAGAACCGCCAGCCACCTCTCGCTGGTGAGACCACGTGGAAATACATAGAAATGGGTTAATAATTAAGACAGAGCTAGCCAATTAGAAACTAGTACCTGGCCAACAGCATTCTATCAAAATAAATAAATAAATAAAAATAAAAGGGCAGATTTCAGCATGACTGAACATAGACACCAACCCAGCAGCTTCTACAGAAAGTTGTTTAAAGAAAGAAAGAAGCAAGGCATGGTGGGACAGGCCTGCACCCCAGCAGTCGGGGGCCAACATAGGAGTTTGAGGTCAGCTACAGAGTGATTCCCTGTGTTTGAAAAGAAAGAGAAAGAGAGCGAGATTTGCTGAATCTGTTTCTGTAACTTTAGCTTAAAGTTCTCTCCTTGACAAAACAGCATACTGTGAAGGCTGGAATGGGCAGGGCATCATGGATAGAGGTCATGACAAGTACCAGCAGGGAAGAACAGCTGGGTGTCTCTGCTGCTGCTTGACTGATTGATCTTGACAAGTTACTTTAACCATTGATGCTCTGTCTGTAACATGGAACCTAGTGTCCTCCTCTGCGCCGTGCTTGCCAGTGCTGTATTCAGACCTGGCCTTGACATTATGGCTGACCTTTTGACCCTGTGGCATCGCCATCTTTCTTCTTCCTTAGTCTCTTCAGCCCTAAGCAACACCAAAGACAGCCCTGTGCTCTTGGATTTCTTTGAGGATTCAGAGCTTTACAGAGAACAAGCCAATACTGCCCTCGACAAGTACAAAGGGGAGCATGGCGACTTTGCCCCTTTCAGAGTGGAACGAATAGAGAGGGTTATAAGAGCGGTGAGTTTTTTCTGCCTGGCAGGGGTGAGCTGAGGGTCACACCCAGTATACCTGCCTCACCTGGCCAGCTGCCTTTACAACCATCACAGCCTTTGATGCTTGGCAAATGGCAATCCTGATGCACAGTCCTTCTCTAACTTCATTTACTTGAGAGAGAGAGAGTGGAATGAGGATATAGTGAAGATCTGACAGGGAAGAAGAAGAAGGAGAAGAAGGAGGAGGAGAAATGAAAAGAAAATCCAAAGGAAGGACAAAAGCACAATGGGGTTATTCAAGCATTAAAAAACATCCAATTTTAGCCTCCTTATCTTATGGTTAGAATACTGAGGCTCAAAAAAAATTACCTCACCATAACCAGTATTGTAGGTGACACTGAAAGTTCCTGCCTCACAGGCCATTCTAGTGCCTCCCACACAGAACTGTTGGGCAGAATAGCCTGTGGATGTTTGGCATTTACTTTTTTTCCCCAAAGGTCTGTTTTTAAGATTTATTCATTTATTCATATTATGGTTTGCTTGCTTGTACATGTGCATTGTGTGTGCTCTACTCCCAGAGGTCAGAGGAGGGCATTGGATCTCCTGCTATGGGTACTGGGAACTGAACTCATGTCCTTTGAAAGAGAATAGCAAGTACTCTTAATGACTGGAGTATTTCTCCAGCCCTGCCAAGTGTTTTGGGAAGGGAAAATTGATTAGATCTGGTGTTTTATGCAGTGGGATGCATATAATGTTGTTGGCTATAAAGAATGTTCTGGACACACCATATGTATTGTCAAAAGGGAAGAAGCAGGTTGCAGACCAATAGTTAGCATATGAGCCATGTAAATGAAGTATTTAAAAATCTTTATATCCTACATGTGGACAAAGCCTAGAAGGAGAAACACATCAAACCAGTGGCAATGAGGCTAGGGAGATGGTTCACAGGTCAAGAGCACTGACTGCTCTTCTAGAGGACCTGGGTTCAATTCCTAGCACCTACATTGTGGCTCATAACCATCTGTAACTCTTACTCCACAAGATTTGATGCCCTCTTTTGACCTCCTTGGACACTATATGTACACGGAGCACAGACAGTCATGCAGGAAAAACACCACACACATAAAAACATAAGTAAAATGAAAACAAAACAAAAAACTCACCACTGATGGTGTCATCCCTCAAGAACGAGGGTCTGGGCTCAGGGAGGGTGTTTTCCCCTGCTATGCTTATGCCTGTATATTAGAAAGTTTTGGTGAAATAGTGATCTCATATGGCTGATGCATTATATTTTTAGAAGGCAGAAAGCATAGAAAAATAGCATTTATTCATTTTAATTCCCGTGGTGCTTTAAGAGAAATTAATAGGTATCTATTGCTTTTCCTGAAGCTATGTTGATTCCTCTGTTCTAGAGAGGAGGTGAAAGAAGCAATTACTACTTGGACTTTTCTATGAGGAACTGTTCCACACAGCATTTCCCCAGATACCCTCCCGTAAGTATGACACACCCCTGAAAAACACTGTCATTTAGACAATGTCCACTACTTAAAGAAGTTCTTCCAAATGTTTTATGCATGTGTTCACTTACTGACACTCAGGCTACCACCACACAAGGTAAGTGCTCATTTTTTCTCTGGTTTGCAGATGGGAAGGAAAATGGTTTTAGCATTTATGTGATAGTATATACATACACCTGAAATTGAGTTTTGAATTCAAGACTAAAGGCTTAGTAAGTAATAACTAGCGTATACTATGGCCATCTACAACCATGAATCAGCCTCCACAGGGATCCCAAATGACAAGTGAAGACACTATCATGGTCCTGCCAAGGTTCACAACCAAGTTTGGATTAAGTCTTTCCAGCATGACTTCTTCCCCAATCAAATCAACCCATTATCTGTTGGAGGATCTTACTAATGAAACTGGATGTTTCCTCCCTTTAGTCATTGCTCAGCAGGTATTCGGTCACAGTAATGAGAAAGTGGTTAGTATACATGGTACCTTGGTGTTTACCAAGCATCTCCACATAGTGTCTGCCAAGCTTCATGGCAGTACCACCAGGATAAGGATGCCTGACATCTCTTTTTTGTCATTGTTTTGTTTTTCTAGACGGGGTTTCTATGCATAGCCCTGACTGTCCTACAATTTGCCCTCTAGTCCAGTGTGGCCTCCAGACTCAGAAAGAGTGACGTGCTGAGATTAAAGGGGTGCACCACCACCCACCCAGAGAGGCCTGAGATCAGAATCATTTGCTTGTGCACTGTTAGCCAGGAAATGTCAGCAAATGGAAACTCGGTTCTGCTCTCAACTCCAGGGCTTTTCTGAGGTTTAATGGCACATTCACTTTCTCTGGCCACAAGGGAAGAAGCATTCACTGTTTCATGTTCCAACCGCTGAAATTTCCCACTTGAGTCAGTTCTAGATTCCTACTCAGAAGCCACAAAAGACAAGACATTCTTTCTCTTAAACCCACCACTAAACCCACCACTAACAAACTCTTTACTGTGTCTGTGTGGTAGGTGCTAAAATCCTAGTGCACAATCCTGAGGGCTGGAGGGGGAAGCAATAGCTTCATCTCCCTTAACTCAAGCTGCCTGTAATCTGTAGATAACATTGCCCTCGTTTCCACGGAATTTCAGAACTTTTGTACAAATGGTCTCCCACCTCTGGTAAATGATAAAGCCACATCCATATAGGTTTGCTTGACTCCAAAACTATTCAGACAGCCTCAATGCATAGCTTTTTCTAGAAATGAATTGTCTCCTTGTCCTTGGACGAATGCCTTTCAGAGCACAGGATTGACAGCCATTAGGGCCAGCAGACACATTCACAGGGCTCAAGCAAACCTGTTTTTGCAGTGACTATGCCCTTCCCAGCACCTTCAAGTTACACAAATCCATCTTCTACAGCGTTCCTCCTTCTCCCGGGCACAAGTAGCCCAGGTCTTCAGTGTAGAACTACTGGCCTAAGAACTGCAGCCCTGGGGATTACAGTTTTCATGTCTGCTCATGGCAGAAAACCACAGAAACCGGAATAAAAACCTGTGGAACCTGTGCTTTACTGGGTGTTGATTAGATAACCCTGATAAATCACTTATGGGGTGTATGATAGTATTGTCCTCTGTTTTCCTTGTTTGTTTAGGTGTCTTGCATGCCAAGAAAGGACTCCACCGGGAAATTACAGATCTGGGCCCTTTCCACTTATTAATTAAAGGTTACCCCAGTTAGAAATCTTCACTCCCCTGCGCGCACACACATGCACACATTCACTGTACACACACTAACATACTCTAACAGGCATCTCCCTTTGCAGGTCTTTGGGTTCTGCAGAGCAGTTTTGTCCTATGATGTAGAAGCCTCTGGTTTGGAAGCCCCGAAAGACACTGAAATAAACTGTGAAGTCTTCAACTTTGAGGTGGGCTGACTGAGCATCCTTTGTCATGAGCAGGACCAAGCCAAGTGACAATTTCTCACACACAGTACATTTGGTTCATTTGGCTTTTATAGTGTGTGTGTGTGTGTGTGTGTGTGTGTGTGTGTGTGTATGTGTGTGTGCATGTGCGTGTGTGAGAGAGAGACAGAGACAGGGACAGAGACAGAGACAGAGAGCAGGTTTGTTGTTACCAAGAACATGAACCCATAGATTTTATTTTTATTTCATTTATTTGGGTTTTTGGTTTGTTTGTTTGTTTTGTTTTGTTTTGTTTGTGACAAGGCCTCACTATGTAGCATTGACTGATCTGGAACTCACTATGGAGATCAAGCTGACTTCAAACTCCTAGAGATCTATCTACCTCTGACTCCCAAGTGCTAGGATTAAAGATACATACTGTCACAACCAGCCATATGTACACCACCATGCCCAACCATAGTCTTTTAGTATACAACTGTGATTCCAACACGTGGGAAGCTGAAATAGAAGAACAGCCAAGTTCCATGCCAGCTTGAGCTACAGAGAAAGACTCTGGGTTTTTTGTTTGTTGGCTTTATTCAAAAAAATAAAAAGAGCTAAAGTCGGGGGTTTAGAGACCAAGTGTCATCAGTCCTCTGGATGAGAGTCTGTCTGTCCTCTGAAAGAGTGGCTATCCTCAGAAAGAATTTCTTGGGACTGTGTTGGGAATGTCAGATCCAGCATAAGATGCTAGTTTAATAGACATGTACCATTTCTTCATAGAGCTTCATCGCTTTTCATTGAATGAGAAAAATAAGAATAAAACAATGTTTTGTTTTGTTTTTCAAGACAGGGTTTCTCTGTGTTTAGCCCTGGTTTTCCTGGAACTTGTTCTGTAGACAAGGCTGGCCTCAAACTCAGTAAGATCTCCCTGCCTCTGCATCCCAATTGCTGGGATCAAAGGCATGTATCACCATCACCTGGCAAGAATAATACAGTTTTTTTTTTTTTAATGAAACAGCATATACAAAGAGCCATCCCTACTTTTGAGATTAATTTCTAATTTGTCAAAATAGTATTTCTGTTGGGAAATTATAATGCTATTCAGTGACAGTTTTTTTTTGGTTTTGTTTTGTATTTTAAATGTAATTTGGCTAGAAAAAAATTTAAGAACTGGACTGGAGAGGTGGCTCGATGGTTAAGCATAGTAGCTGCTCTTACAAGAGACCAGGATTCAAGTACCAGCATCCACATAGCATTTCACAGCTGTCTGTAACTCCAGTTCCAAGGAATCTGATGCCCTTATCTGGCCTCTACAGGCACTGTGCACACATACACACACTGCACAGACATTTATGCAGACAAAATCCCACACATATAAAATAATAATTTTTTTTAATTCAACAAGTTTTTTGGTACCCTATTTCTTAAATTGATTCATGAGATCTTTGAGAGCATCTAGTCTAAGTCAAGCCTACCATCTAACTTCTTACATACTTATATTCACTTTTCTGTGTCCTTTACCAGGAAAGAAACATGAGCCATGAGTGTTCTTATGGCAAACATCTGTGCAAGTTCAGTGGATCCAGGGGTCGTCATCATACCCACAAGATGTATGAACATGGCTACCTACCTCCACCAGAAGATGACTCAGACAGGCCACCACTTCAAGACGGATCCCTCCCACAACCGCCCCCTCGCCATTCCTCTCCTTTTGGTACCAACAGAACCCATAGACCCCCTCATAATCATGGTTGTAATGAGCATCCTTCCCATAGACACCATCCCCATGGACACCATCCCCATGGGCAACACCATCCTCATGGACACCCTCCTCATGGACACCCTCCCCATGGACACCCTCCTCATGGACACCCTCCTCATGGACACCCTCCCCATGGACACCCTCCTCATGGACACCCTCCCCATGGACACCCTCCTCATGGACATGATTTCCATGACTATGGACCCTGTGATCCATCCTCCAACAGCCAAAAATTCAAAGGGCAGTATCGCCAGGGACATGGCCCACCACATGGCCACTCACGAAAAAGAGGTTCAGGTAAAGGACTCTCTCCTTTCCACCACCAAGAAATCGGAAATGTCTACCGACTCCCTCCACTAAGTTCTAGTGAAGTTTTAGATATTCCTGAAGCCAATTTCCCCCAGCATCTCACCACCAAATTGCAACAATCCCCTCCAACCAGAAATTCAGTCCTTCCCCCAGGCAGCCTCAGAGTCATGTCCAGGGAAATTCAAGAGTGAGTTTCCACAAATTCATAAGTTTTTTGCAAATATGCCTCCAAAATAAAACCTGATTCCTTGGTGGGGAGAAAATGGACAATGTTCTGAATAAATAAAATGTGAACAGTAAGAAATGAAAGGTGTAGTTATTTTAACTTCACCTTCATACTTAGGGAAGTATGGGAAAGACAATATAGACAGACAAATGGAAACGAGAGGAAAGACATCAATACTATGAACCAGAGTTGAATTCCGTCACTGGATACTGCATCAGATGAGAAATCTCTAATTAAGAATTTCTCTCTTCCTTGGGTTAACTCCCTAATTCTAGCTGGGGGCATTAGCTACATGTCTGTTGCTATAAATAAACTCCCATAACCAAGGGAACTTATGGAAGAAAGAGTTTGTTTTGCCTTATGGTTCCAGAGAGATGAGACTTCCTCATGCCAGGGGAGGCATGACAGCAAGTGACACGCAGGGCATTGGGAGCTAAAGGCTGAGAGCTCACATCACAAGCACAAAGCAGAAAAAGCTGAACAGAAGTAGCACAGGGCTTTTAATCTCAAAGGCTGCATCCAATGACATGCTTCCTTCAACAAGGCCATGCATCTTAAACATCCCCAGAAATCATCCCAAACTGGGGACCCAATGTTCAAATATCTGAGCACGTGGGGATGTCCTCAATCAAATCACCACCATGGACATACCAAGAAAACATATATTACTTTTTAAAAAGTGACTCACATCGTCTCCTTAATGATTGCCAGTTTAAATTCCATCACAAAGCTCTTAACAAAATCGTCGGTAAGTTGCAAAGACAATTTTAGCATAATCATGAGCATAAATTCAGATGTTCAAGAAATATTGTTCATGTTCCAACCAATTCGCATTTCACATAGGCACTCTCCTGGGCTAAGGGGAAACTGGAGTCCCTACAGCCTGCCACTCCCCATGCAGATTTGTACCAGAGGACCATTGGTGTGTGCACGTCTCTTTTTGAGGCTAGTTTAAATGCCACTTTTATATCTGACTAAAGATAAAGGAGTCCCTAGAAGATCACCAAGGGACAGGAGTGCCTAGATGTACCACATGGCTGTACCAAGTTGTACCATATGGTTATGCCAAGATGTACCACATGGCTGTTCCCTCCAGGGATCTTACCCAAACTGTGTTTCTAGAAAGGGGGGCAGAGCTCTGCATCTCAGGAACCCTAGGTCCTACTCCCATTATCCTTCCCATCTCTTTTCCACAAGATAGCTTCTCTCTAGTATCAGGTGAGTTTGCCTTATTTATTTTTGGTCTTAAACAATTCATTTTCTTCCATTTTAATACTCTTCCTCCTTTCTAAATCTGAACTCACACACCTGGAACCAGGTTAATCAACTTCAGCTTTTCTCTGCCTCCCAGCCCCATGGTCATTAGTATTTAAATACTGAATAACTGACATGGCACAGGTCAACCATTTAGAATATTTGCCAACCAGAAATAACCAGTGTGACCATTCCATAGTGGCCAGCTAAATGTTGCCTTAGGGAACCACATTTTTTTACAGAAGCATGAACCAGGAGTCAGCTGCCTGAGTGCAGGGTTGAAAACAGGGGGCTATCAGGTAGCCGAGAACAAATAAACTCAGATTAATAACCCAAAATATTGTTTTCCCACAGATTTGTTTTGTTACTTATTTTGTTGTTATTTGTTTGTTTGTTCTCTTGTTTGTCTTTTGAGACAGGGTTTCCCTTTGTAGCCCTGGCTATCCTAGAACTCGCTCTGTAGCTCACTCTGGCCTCAAATTCACAGAGCTCCACCTTCATCTCCCTCCCAAGTGCTGGGATAAAAGGTGTGTGCCACCACTGCCCAACTCATTTTCTAATTTATAAGGCACTTTGACAAATATTTCTTGAGTTTATGAAAATACATCTTGAAAAGCATAATTATAAAAATCCCTGATTCATTTTAATAGATATCCTATTGCAGTTGCTACAGATAAACAATAGCATTAAAGGCAGGAAACAAGCCATGCATGGTGGCACACACCTCTAAGACCCAGAACTCAGGAGGCAAGGACAAGAGGATCCCTGCTGGTTCGAAACCAGCCATAGTGAGTTCCAGGACAACCAGAGCTATATGATAAGAAGAACTTGTCTCAAGCAAAACAAAACAAGAAACAAACAAAAGCATCAGCCCTGTAAGGACTGTCTTTACATTCAACAAAGTGGCACCTGCTCCAACAAGGCCACTCCTCCTAATAGTACCACTCCCTGTGGGCCTATGCGGGCCATTTTCTTTCAAACCACCACTGTTTGTAACCTGTAGAACTCAGGTTAGAGCTCTAGTCAGCCTCCTCCAAAGCCTCATTCTTTGGCCACTGGCTGTTGTGGTTGTGGATCTTCACTGGAAGCCTTCACAGTGATCCAAGTCCTTCACGATAGTACGTTACTCACTTCCCAACCCTCCCGTCTTCCAGATTCTCTATTTCTCCCTCTTCCTCCTTTCACTCAGCCTGGAAACTTACCTATGGTGAAGAGATACTATGAAAACATCGCTTATATTCTAAGAGCCTGGAATGTTTGCTGGGCCTCACAGGCAGAGTTAATACACCTTGAAGTCACTGCGGTCCTACTGTGTACTCAACATGCTTGTTTGACCCGCCTCCTTGAGAACAATGCAACAACCAACCTTACTTGCCTTGGGTTTCCCATGTAGTCAGATTTTCAGCCTAAACTAATACATAACTCTAATCTTAAGTTGTGTACTCTTCCATGCCCCTTATACAAGTGTGTGTGTGTGTGTTATGATAATCATTTGATGAAAACAGCAATAGGTTGGAAAAGGCTTTATAAAATGAGTATCAACCATAAATGTTGGATGTAACATGGATATTGCTTGATAGCATGTGTTCGTTATGTGGATCATTTTGATGTAGGAGAAACTTGAAGTAGTAACATTGATGCTATAAAAGATTCACTAACAAACATTCTTTAGGAAATACTAAGTTACACAAAGTAGAATTTAGTTAAAGGAGCATTGCCTCCAATACGACTGGAAGGTAAGTAGTGTATTGTCCAGACTTGTTAGAAATACAAAGAAAAAAATTTTTTTATCACAATTGACCTGGTAGTGTGTGCTACTGTTGTAGGGGGAACCTACACATATGGAGGTTTTGGCTAGTTTTACCAGACACTGACACAGGGGATGTGTAATAGCAATATAAATAATTAATGTAACAGTAATTGTACATGTTACATAGCTGGTGTATGGCTAGCTCCAACAAATAGCAAGCAAGTGTTACAGCTTTAATGCTCAGGCTTTCCTTGCTTCTTCATAACTACAGCTTTGGATGCTGCTCTTATTTAATAGGACCTCCCTTATTCTGACTATTCCGTGATTTCCTTTTGAATTTTATAAGCCAGAAGTTTTTGGCCATGGGGTGGAAGACAAGTCACATAATTCAGACACAAGTAGGTGGGCTCCAGAAGATTTGAATGACTGCTTAGACTTGATAGCCTCTACCCTGCTGATCCACTGTAACAAGGGCTTCTTACCTGGGTGACATTGGGCCCTTCCATTGTGACTTGTGTGACTCCAGCACTTACCAGCCGCTGTTGAGGAAGTGTTCTTCCCCAGGTCTGCAGTCTTGGGCCAGCCCTCTTTGCTGAAGACATGAATGGGTGTGCATGTGTGCCAGCTCTTGTTTTCACTCTTGTGCTTTTTTGGAAGTGCAAAAAATGGTTTTGTGCAACCTTTAACAAAAGTCTGTATTCATTTGCCCATATTAGAAAGATACCGTACCAACCAGGAGCACACACCCAATCTGTCCATCATTGCCACTTTTGTGGGATAGTTTACAATCTTGAGCTTATTAGGATACCACATTGGACCCTTTACTCAGCCTGCTACATAACAAGCTTCTCTTTTTGCTATTAATATAATATTCATGACTTTTGGTGGCCTTGTATGTCACTTAGGCATATCTTTTGTTCTGTGCAGAACATCTCATTCTGACTTTTACAAAAATTGAAATCCGCAATCTAACTGTAGAAACTTTTTGCTTCCATGCTCACCTTCGGGAAACTAAAGTCAAAGGCTTGCGTTCTCTGCCTTAGCTTCCCTTCCATTCCCACCTTCTCTTTTCTTTGTTTCTCTGACCTGTGGTGCTGGGCTGCTTAATTCACATGAAGGCGTAAATGTTTCTGTCTTCATTTTCAAAACTTGCTTAAATTAAAGGATTTCCAGTGGGGAAAAACAAAACAGAAACAACCCCACTAAGATATGATGATTTCCAGCCAGGAGGTGGTGGCAAGCACCTTTAAGCCCAGCAGAGGCAGGGGGGATCTCTGTGAGTTTAAGGCTAGCCTGGTCTACAGAACAAGTTCCAGAACAGCCAAGGCTACACAGAGAAACCCTGTCTCAAAAACAAACAAACAAAAAGATATATGATTTCCACATTCTTGGGGTGAAGAAACTGAGATGGGAAGGTTATGACTGACTCTCACACACACATACATGGACAGACATAAACCCACACTCATTCACACCCAGACACATGCCCTCAGCCAAGCATGAAACACACACACTGGCCCACATGCAAATGCCTATACAGACTCAGCACAAAGAAGTTCAGGAGTAGAGCCAGATTGATATCCATATAGGATCTCTAACCAAGCATGCTCCTGCCAAGCTCCTATAAAGTCGTCATTCAACCCATGGTGACAGCCCCCCACCTCAGGGCCTCTCAGGCAGCCGCCATTGCAAACGAGAGGGTCCCATCAACCACACAGAACTCAACCTTTGGGAGTCTCTTTTATTTCTTCTTTCTCTTGTTCTTCTTCCTTCCCCTCTCTGTCCTTCCTTTCTTCATTATTCTTACTGTGTGTGTTTATGGGAGACAGGATGAGAATGTATGAGGCTGCACACAAAGCCACAGCCCACATGCGGAGGTCAGAACCTCTCAGGAGTGGGTGCCTCATCATCCACCTTAGTGAGACGGGTCTCCTTGTTTCTCCTGCTCTCATACTCCAGGCTTCCGGCCTGTGAGCTCCCCATCCTCTCATGTCTCCACTTCCTGGATCTCAGTAGGAATGCCAGGTTTACAAATGTGTGCCACCATCCAGAGGTTTTGTCTGACTCCCAGGCATCAAACTTCAGTTGTCAGCATGAGGCTCATGAGGCAAGCACTTTTACCTGCTGGGGCTCCTGCTGGCCCCTCCCTTCCTTTTTTGCTTGAGCTAATCAAGTTGAGCAGAGAGGCTGGTTCTCAGATGTGCTAGTGTCCATCTGTGCCTGAGCTTTTCAGGAATGCACCAGAGCTGACAGCAGCCTGCTCCTGTACACATCAATATCCCCACAAGCTATTCTGTGTGGGAGGTGTTTGTACATTGGCCTCATTGTTCACACATGCAGAGACCTTTGTAACTGGTCCAGTAAAGTCACAAGAGGGTAACGGAATTTTTGTTGGTTTTAGCTCCTCTTTTATTGGTTTCTGCTCTAATTCACTGTACAAAGTTGTGCAACTTTTGGAAACAGGCTCTGCACTCCCACGTTCTTTCCAAGGGCAAACAAGCAGGTCAACAACCTGGTGTCACAATGTTCCAACCTAAAACCTGCTTGGGCAGTGTGCATAGTCATATTTGCTCTTTGGGAAGAGGACAAACAGCTTGTGACAGCAGGAATCCAAATAGGCCTCCAGTGGTGAGGCAGGGAGAGACAGGACAGGACAGACCAGACAAACTGCTAAAAGCACCTTCTAAGCTGACTTCCAGTTCTTGGCAAAACCATCCCTGCCATTCGAGAGGGAAACTTAAATCATGAAGCTAATTACTCTCCTGTTCCTCTGCTCCAGGCTGGTAACGGGTTTAACACAGGAAGGAGCCTCCCAGGAAATTGACTGCAATGATGAGGATGTATTTCAGGCTGTGGATGTGGCTCTGAAGAAGTATAATGCCAGGAACCAAAGTGGAAACCAGTTCATGTTATACCGAGTGACTGAGGGCACTAAAATGGTGAGTGGCTGCTTAACTGTGAAATCACTTAAACTCTGTGCTCTCTGGCATGGGGGTGGAGGACAGGAAGGCGACAAGGCACAGCAGGGAATCCAGCAACTTAATCTACTTGCAACAGGAGAATGCACTGGGTCTGTGAACTCAGTGACCTCCAGCCTGAAGTAAGAGTTCTGTATGGGGATGAGTAAATGGAGTAAGAGAAGACTGGGCATTATTGCCTTGCACCAAGTGAATGCCACCAAGTATGTGTGGCTGATTCTTCCGGGTTAATAGCAATGTTTCTAATAGTTTTCTTCAGTTTTGGGGGGATGCAGGGAGGCTAAGGCAGGGAGTCATGTAGCCTTGGATTAACCATAAAATTGTTATGCTGATAAGGATAAACTTAAACTTTTCATCTTCCAGCCTCCATCTCCCTAGTGCTATGATTACAGGGATGTGCCACGAGGCCAGGTTTATTTGGTACCAGAGAATCAAACACACTAGGCAAGGGCTTTACCAACTCCATCCCCAGCCCATTTCGGCTAGTTTTTACTATGCTGTCATGCCTACGTTAGTGCACTAAGGTAGGAGACAAGTGCAGGCAGGATCCACACATCAAAGAAAGGCAAAATCTTTAAGAGCTTTAAAAAAACATAGCTGGGTGATGGTGGCACATGCCTTTAATCCCAGCACTTGGAAGGCAGAGGCAGGTGGATCTCTGAGTTTGAGGCCAGTCTGGTCTACAGAGTGAGTTCCAGCACAGCCAGGGACACAGGGAAACCCTGTCTCAAACAAAGAAACAAAAAGATTTTTAAATAAATAAAGTTTAGAGACTGGAGAGATGGCTCAGTGGTTCAGGGCACTGGGTACTCTTGCAGAGGATCTGGGTTCAGTTCCCAGCACCCATGGTAGCTCACAACCATCTAGAACTCTAGTCCCAGGGGATCTGGTGGCTCTTTTGACCACAATAAGCATCAGGCAAAGATGTAGCATATATACATACATTCAGGCAAACACTCATACTCATAAAAGCTTTTTGAAAACGTTAAAGCTTTCAAAAAGATAAATAATAATAAATTTTACTTTAAAAGACTCTTTCTTTGGATAAATCAAGTTACTTCAGCAGAAAATAATGAATATAAAAAGAAAATCCTAGTGGACGTAGACTTATGTGTTTGTTTCCCGAAGATAAACGAAGCCTTCTGTTTCTTACTCCAGCACGGTGTGCATTCTGCTTCCGGCCACTCTGGAGCCTCAGTCCACTAGTGTCTCCACTGGATAATGGATGGAGTACGTGAGCGTTTGTTATACAGTGTCCATGTAGCCAGTGTCCCCCTCCCCGTAACCAGGGATCCAAGGCCAAGGCACATGTCAGGCAAACACTGAGTTGGGTTTTTTGAGGCAGGGCATCATTATGTAGCTCTGCTGGCCTTGAACTCTAGGTCCTCCTCTCAGTCCCACAGGTGTGGTACTGGGATTACTGGCTTCGCACTATGCCCAGCTTCGACTTGACATTTTGAAAACCCATACATGTACATGTAAACTAGGTTTTACCAAAAAGAGGGCAGGGCTAATACTATGGGTACCTCTTTGGAATCGTTAAGGATGTAAGTATATTATGAACATTCTTCCAAGGAGTATTTATGTGAATGTAAACTCTTACTTTTTAATAAACACCTAGCACTACTCGAGTCCGGTCAGGACAGCTGTTTGTAATGTGTCAGGTCCCTGTACTTGCTCCTGGGTCCACCGAATGACTCCACTGTCCCCTTGCTTTCCTCAGGTTGGCGCTGAGACATTTTATTCCTTCAAGTATCAAATCAAGGAGGGCAATTGTTCTGTCCAAAGTGGCCTCACCTGGCAGGACTGCGGCTTCAAGGATGCTGAAGAAGCTGTGAGTGTACTCAATGCAAAAGCCCCCAGCCCTCTCCATGTAACCCTTGGGGTTCTATACATTTAAACGCATAGATCAAACATTAAACTTATACCCGTAGTGGGTACACCTGACCATTTGATCCCATGCACTTATTTAAAGCTGGGCCCCCTGTCTCCTCTGGCAATCATCAGCCCTTTATGGTGATAAAATTCAAAATCCTTCCAGCCATTCTTCAATGAACAATGTGAAATTCTTATCTGTACTCACTCTTATCGAACTGTCACTCAGTAATCCTTGCCAGACTTCTCCTATCCCCAGCCTCCAGTTACTGGTGACTGCTCCTACCTTCTGTGACAACACCCTTTGTTGACCTTTGATGTCCTGTAGCTACATGTTTTCCCTAACCTGCTGATTTCCAGTCCCTTCCATGTTACAAGTGACAAGTTTTAATTTTTTACAGTTCTTTCCATTATGTACATACAGCAACTTCCTTACCCACTCATCAGCTACAGACTTTCTTAATTACAGGGGGATGATTTATATTATTGAGCTTGTTTATGAATGATACACATAAGCCTTCTACTATCTAGAAAATTTAGCCACGTCTCTGAATTCTTGAGAAGACTGAAAAATCTGGAATATGCTAATCATTAACCAGGCTTGTTGGCCGCTCATGAGAAGGTGCTCCTAATAACCCACCAAACTCATGTGTCAGACACCAGGGGAGACAACAGATAGACATTTGGGCTGAGTTCAAGGTCTGGTGAAGGAGGAATATGGGAGTGACAACTATAATGAGCCTAGGTACAAATCTTGACTTTGCTCTAAGTGTCACGGAGCCGTTGGCCGCCCTCAGCAGGTGCTTTACCCTATTAAAATGAGACAGCATTGATCTCACTGGCAGCAGGAGGATGAAGCAAGATAAATCATACAAAGGATCTTATTGACAGTTTAGATGTCTTCAAGAAACACTGAATGTAGGCCCAGTGAGAGGGGATGGCAGGCAATTATTTGCCTGAGAAGCAAGCCTCTCTTCTCACAGGCTTGTATTCCCCTTTGAGATCAGATGCCAGCATCCTCCGGAGTGCTTGTTCACACACTGTGGTCATCCACAGTGGTAAAGAGCACTGCACTCCAAGAGACCAAGATTGCCATGCTAGCTCTGCCCCTCAGTGAGTTTGTCTGGCAGTTACTATGCCCTGCACAGCCAGCCTTTCAGAGCTAACTCGAGGCATCAGGGTGAGCTCTAGCCTTATGCAAATGCTCCTGGTGCTTGTTACAGTAAGACTGAAGTACAAGACCAAAACCATTGTTCACCCCTAACAGTGGACAGCCACCATGTAAGCACCAACTGTATGCTTTCCATTAGGTGCTTTCTCTGTGTTAGTGCATTTACTCCTCACAGTAACCTGTTAAGTACAGGTGTTGTATCTCTACAAGGCAGGCAAACTGAGGAACAGTAGGCAGCAGAACAGAAGCAGGGTGGGTATTCTTAAGAGGTGAAACTGAAGTTTGGGTAAAGAGTGTGAACCCACTGGCACTGAAAGTGTTATCAGGGAGGAAGCTTAGCCTGTTGGTCCTGAGGCGCAGTGGCTGTCTTGGTGACAGAAAAACTTGTCTGGACTCTACATCCAGGCTCAAGTTGAGAAGCCTTACTCTGCCTCTCCCCAACCGGTGAAGATCAGTGACCCATGGAAGCAATCACTAGGTCACATAAATATTCATTCTTGTGTCTCAAATCTTAGAAGGCTAGAGAGATGGCTCAGTGGTTAAGCACACTTGTAGAAGACATGGATTGGGTTCCTAGAACCCAGATGGAGCCCATAACTGTGGTGATATATTGTTTATGATCTAATAAAGCCACTGAAGATCAGAATCCAAAACCAGCCACACTAGTTAGCCATAGAAGCTTGGCAGTGGTGGTACACACTTTTAATCCCAGAACTCAGGAGACAGAGGCAGATGAATCTCTGTGAGTTCAAGGACACCCAGGGCTACATGAGAGTGAATTTGTCTAAAAGAGAAACAGAGCTCAGGCCTTTAATCCCAGCACTACAGGTGCAGATTGGAGCAGAGTCTCGGATTGGAGCAATTAGTCTCCAGCCACGTTGAGGATAGGATCTCACTAGCCCTAGAGGAGGTAAGAGCTCTCTGGTGACTTGGCTGCTTTGCTTCTCTGATCTTCAGTGGCTTTATTAAATCATAAACAATATATCACCACATATAACCATCTGTAACTCTAATTCCACTGAATCTGGACTCCATGTCCACCAGATGCATGCTTGTATGCATGCAAACACACACACACACACACACACACACACACGAATGTATATAAAAAACACTCATTTACATAAAAGCAATTGAATCTTTAAAAAAAAAAACTCCATTAAAAAAATTTTTTCTTTAGGTCACATTTAACAACAGTACTACCTAGATGTCTCCATTAGAAAGATAAATTAGGGTAAATAGCCTCTTTCTTTTCTTTTAGGCCACTGGAGAATGTACAGCAACTGTGGGGAAGAGGGGACCTAAGAATTCTCCGTAGCTACCCAGACATGCAAGATTACTCCAGGTGGGTGACACATCTGGGGACCTGCCCTGGAGGTGGCAGTGGGTAGGAACCTGGGGAGGGGAGGGGGAAGTATGTTGGTGCTAATTATTCCTATGGACCAGACCACTTCACCCTCCCAGAAGGTGACAGTGGCAATGCCATCTGCAGTGTTGGGACTGTGGTAGCTGGGTGGGCAGAGGAGCACTGCACCAGGTTCTTGGATTGGGCCAGGCTTGTGTTAATCATCCCCACAGACCTATTCCAACTACTCCTGTGTTGTGTCTGCAGGGACAGGTGGGGGTGTGAGGGCTGGTTGACAAAGGATGAGGAGACACAGACTGCCTCCAGTCCTACACAGCACCCTACAGCGGGGAGACTGTGGGCTTTGAGGCCTGCCCTGGCCTGAAATCATTCCAGATTTTTATCAACTTCACTTCCCTTTTTCCTTGTCTCAGAAGGGAGATGATAGAACTACATACTTCACATGATTGGTGTGCTAGAAAAAGAGATGATAAAAGATGCAATGTCAGGGCATCATAAAACTTTAGGCACCAGCCAGGTGGTAGCACACACCTTTACTCCAAACACGCGGGTCTACAGAGAGAGTTCCAGGACAGGCTCCAAAGCTACACAGAGAAACCCTGTCTCAAACAACAACAAAAGGTTGCAGACACCAGATGACAACGATAGCTAACACTCACCAAGCACATATGTGCTGCCATGGACTAGGAACTTTACATGTATTAACTCATCTGACCATTACAGCTCCACCAGGGTGGCATGATATCCTGATTCTTCAAATGAGGAAACTGAGGCAGGAGCACTTAGGTAACTTACCTACAGCTATACAGTCAGCAGTAGAGTTGGTAGAGTAGGTCCTGTGTAAATAAAACCCTTAAGAATAACAGTAAGGAGCAACCTATGAATAATTGCAGCCATTCCCATCACTTTAGATAATGTTGTAAAGGTACCAAGGCCTTATAGAGGGAGAGGTGTATATGGGAAATGCCAGTCATGAAAGCCTTCCTAGAGCTGGCCTCTTGTGAGGTGGGGTGGAGAAAGAGAAAAAGAGATAGAGATCCAATGACAGAACACACCCAGGAAGTGTGTTCCCAAGTGGTAAGGAAGCCTTCCATCCTGATGTGGTGTCTCTACTGCACATACTACCCACTCTGCAGCTTTCCACAGTCATGTATTCTTTGTTCATTTCAGAGGGTCTATGAGAACCCTAAAATCATACATCAATGTTGTGACTATTTGCGTTTTCCTGGGGAGGGACTATGGCTCTCATGAGTTTTGGGACTAGAGAGTGACTAGACTAGATGTGCTGTTAGTAGTCCCTGCCTGGAGCACAGCCTCTCTCCAATTGTCCATATCTCTAATCAGGTTGGATGCTCTGATAAAACAAATAGATGCTACCTCCTACACTATTATTCCTCAACTCATCCTGACCCTATACATCTTGCCACCTTCTTTCTTACAGCTCAGGCACCTTCATTTTCTTAGACATCTTCCCTGATCTCATTTTAGCCTCCTGTCTTTCCTAGCTCTTGCCCACCCCAATGAGATGATCTGTTTACACTCGTTCTGTTCTACCTGATTGTCATTCCTTCATGGAAGTGACACTTAATGTCTCCCTATACCCTAGCTCAGCACCTGGCATGTGAGAGCAGAGGCAGACAAACTTCAACCAAAGCTCCCCTTGTGCTAACTAATAAGAAAGCCTCTTGCCTTCTATGCTAGTTAGTGCTTCTATTTCTATGAAGAGACACCATGACCATAGGAACTCTTATAACAGAAACTGTTTAATTCAGTGTGGTTTATAGTTCAGAGGTTTGCTCCACTGTTATCATTGTGGGGAACATGGCAGTGTGCAGACAGATATGGTGTTGGCTATGCCTTGATCAGAAGGCAACAGAAAATGGACTGTGACACTGGACAGTATCTTGAGCTTAGGAAATCTCAAATCCATCCCCACAGTAACACACTTCCTCTAACAAGTCCACACCTCCTTACAGTGCCACTCCCTATGAGATTTTGGAGGCTAATTACATTTAAACCACAACTAATCATATGATAACAAAGGAGTGTCTTCCTGCCAGCACACAATCATGTTTTCTACCTGCCAATGACTTGTTTTAGATGATGAAACTCATGTAAAGATGAACAAAGTATAACTACATTGTGTGACATAAAAAAATGGAAACACAAACATGCTTGGGAGAGTTCTCCATGAGCCAAAGCATCAGATTGAATTTGTCAGGACAAATAACAGGAAATAAATGCAGTTAGGCATCAAGAAGCTTTAACATCGAAAATAGCTATATATCTGTAATGTTCTCCCTCTTATAAAATGGTGAGTTAATGTAATTCTGTGACCATTTAAAATGCATTAAAATAAGGGTCTAATGATGTAGCTCTGCTAGTGTCACTGCTCTGGAGGTGGTGGGACTTAGTATGGGGTTGGTAAATGAGGCAGACTAAGTCTTATGCAATAACCAACTTTATTCAGAGCCTCAGACAGTTTATACTGTGAGGGTTAAGGAAGATGTGAGGGGCTGGAGAGATGGCTCAGAAGTTAGGAGCACTGATCACCTCTTCAGAGGTCCTAAGGTCAATTCCCTTAGGACCACATGGTGGCTCACAACCATCTGTAATGAGATCTGGTGCCCTCTTCTGGCCTGCAAACATACAGTAAATCTTTTTAAAATTTTGTTAAAGAAAGAAAGATCACATGAGTAAAGTTCTTATGAGTTCAAGCTGTATACAATTACAAGGACAAGCCACACTGTGGCCAAAAACATGTCTTTCCAAAGAGTCATATAAAGGATAGCTTAAACATTTAATTGAGTAGCAACAGCAAGCTATAATTAGTAATCTGAAGTAAACTCCCTCCTATCTGCTACACCTGGGAGGGGCCCAAAAACACACTCCAAGAACAATTCTGTTTTGAAGCAACTGAGGTCTCTTGTCTTGTTTTCTTGGAGTGTTCTCATAGGCACTCAGAATTCTCACACAATTCCATTCCTGAACTGTGTTCCAATTAGCTAGTATACATGAAGGCCTGGGTTCAGTTCACATCACTACATAAAGCAGGCACAGAAGCCTGTAGAGAAAAGTAGAGGAAGGAAGATCAAACTTTCGTGGCCATCCTTAGCTACTCAGATAGTTCCAGGCCAGCCTTGGGGAATATGAGATCTCTGCCTTAAAAATGAAATAATATAACATAAAAAAACACCTATCTTTATACTCTCCATTTTTCCTCTCACTACAGAGGAGTTCGAGACTCTTACTATCTTTAACTCATATAGGAGTTACTGGGAAGTCAGTTCATCAGGCTCTTCTAAATGGCTCGGGTTTAGGACCCGCGTATATGAGAGGTGTTCTCAGTTGTTAATGCCACCTCTTTGTCTGCTCTTTGTCAAGGTAATGGGCCCATAGTGACAGATGAGTATACCTGTTTGGGTTGTGTACATCCCATATCGACGGATAACCCTGAACTGCAGCCTATTCTGAAACACGCCATTGAGCATTTCAACAACAAAACCAATCATTCCCACCTCTTTGCTCTCGAAGAAGTAAAAACAGCCCAGAGACAGGTTTGTTTCAGTTTTTCATGATATGTGATATGGTTAAAAATCTGTCAGATCAGCATTTTGTCACACAAAATAAATTACCCAGTGGCAGGAAGAAGCTGTGTGGGACATGCTGGCATGGCACTGGAGTGTCCTTCTGTGTTTTCATAAGAATAACTCTTAAAGAAAGGAGCTTTCTCTGGGGTCCAAGCAAGTAAGGGTCTCATGTAAGAAGGAAAGGGCAGGTCTCACATCTTCTTCCTTGGGTTTGTTTGTAGCAAGCAAACAGTCAGCATGGCATGTTTGTCCCAGAGACAGAAAATGAAAATGGTCACTCTGCCTTTAGGGCTTTAACAAATTTCAAAATGTTACATTGTTCCTAAAAGAGTGGACGTGACTTTCTGGGTACACCCTGAATTATACTGCCCACTTCCTCTTGGTGGTGGCTGGAAAAAGCTAGTAATCTGATCATTTATTTATTTATTTATTTGGGTTGTTTGTTTGAGGCAGAGTCTCACTACACAGCCCTGGCTATCATGGAACCCAACTATGTAAATCAGGCTGGCCTCAGAATCATAGCTCTGCCTACCTCTGCCTCTCTGACATTCTCTACTGTTAGTTTAGCTTGCCACTGTGTGAGATTTGTACTTTACCCACCTGTTCATCATGAGGTGATGGGTGGTTCAGTATGCGGATGGTGGTCAGCATGGAACCTGCCAAGAACAAAGCAGAATTTCAGTGCCTGATGACCTGAGACCAGAAGACTCGCCAAGAAAGGCCACTCCTATTCCACACTCCTCCTGTGTAGAAAATCATATTGCTTCACAAAACTGGAAGAAACATGCCCTCTTACCAACTGGGAGAAGGAAAAATTATGGGTGTCTTTGTTTGAAAACACACACACACACACACACACACACACACACACACTCATTTGCAGTTACATGAGAGAGTGTGTATGTGGGAAGATAATCAATATTTACTCAGTGATTACTTGCCTAGTAATAACGAAGGTTTGTATTCCTGGAGCTCTTATTATATCTAATTCAGTGTTTAAAGGTGTTTATAACTTTCACTCGCTGTGAATTATGTTCAACTGAACTGCAAGTACTCACTCAATCTAAAATCGTTGCAGGTGGTAGCAGGACTGAACTTTGAAATCACCTACTCAATTGTGCAAACTAACTGTTCAAAGAAGCATTTTCTACTCTTAACTCCAGAGTGCAAATCCCTTCCAGACGGTGTAAGTAGGCAAAAGTTTAATGATCGTCTTTAACACTTTGTTAACAGCATGGACAGGACTGCCAAGCATTGCAGGATGACTGTCACTAAAGCTAAGATGTCATCTAGTAGTTCACATTCCTGTTGTGAATCTCGAGTTGCTGGTCCAAAGACTGCACATGTCACACTAAGTTGCTGATCAAAGACTGAACATGTCACACATTCATCAGGGATCAGAAATGGGGCCTGGGTTGTCATATGCACCTAGTCTCCTCCGATGTCATATGTCATGTGTGCTCAGTGTTCTGACAGGGTCCTCTAGACCCCGGTTCCTTACTTCAAGCTCTTCTCTCCTTGTTTCCTCATCTACCTTCATTTTAATAAACACATTCTGGGATTCTATCCCTTTGTGGATGACATCTTGTCATCTCAACCACATTTACACAGAAATGATGTCAATGACTATGCAATGTCTGGCGAATGCCCATGTGACTGAGGCACATTAGCCTTCCCAGGATAATGTTGTAGATAATTCTTTAATCTAGTAGTTCTGTTTTACAAGGGAATGTAGTTAGTTGCTTTTAATCCTTTGCTCTTTTGGGGGCCCACCACCCAGCTCTCAGATAAATCACACACAGAGATTTATTATTTCTTATACATTCCCAGCCTTAGCTTGGCTTGTTTCTTGCCAGCTTGTCTTAACTTAAATTATCCTATCTATCTTTGCCTCTGGGCTTTTTCCTTTCCTTACTTCTGTAATCTTACTTTCACTCTTACTCCAAGGCTGGCTGTGAGACTGGGTAGCTAGCTGGCCTCCTCCTATTTGTCTTTCTGCCTGCCAGACCTATCTATCTTTTCTCCTGCCTGGCTATCAACCATTCAGCTCTTTATTAGACCACCAGGTGTTTAAGGCAGGCAAAGTAACACAGCTTCAGAGTTAAACAAATGGAACATAAAGAATACAACACACCCAAGCATCATTAAACAAATGTTCCACAGCACAAATAAATATAACATACCTTAAAATAATATCCTACACCAAGGAAACAGTGGGAAATCTAGACCACAATATGCTAATTTGAGGTAATTTTTATATAGTTTATTTTTATTTTACGTGCATTGATGTTTTGCCTGCATGTATGTCAGAAGCACTGGAACTGGAGTTACAGATGGTTGTGAGCTGTTATGTGGATGTAAGTGACTGCAGCCTCTCAGAAAACATTTTGGCAGTTCCTCAAAGGGTTAAATATAAAATGACACTGAACAGGGGCTATAGGCGTGGCAGAGCCAGTTAAGTGTTTGCTGTGAAAACATGGGAACCTGAGTTCAAATCACCAGCGCACACACACACACACACACACACACACACACACACACACACAAAACAAAAAAAAAAAAAAAAAAAAAAAAAAAAAAGCCAGGCCATGGTGTTGGTACATGACTTTAATCCAAGCACTTAGGAGGCAGAGGCAGAGGCAGGACGATCTCTGTGAGTTCAAGGCCAGTCTGGTGTACAGAAAGTTTAAGGCAGGCCAGGGCAACTTAGAGAAACCCTGTTTCAAAAAGCCTAAATAAATATCAATCACCAGCACTCACATAAAGGAGTGGTGGCATGTCCTTTATTCCCAGCACTAGGGAGGAAGAGACAGGAGGATTCCTGCCATTCACTGGCCCCTAACTTAACAGGAGAACTCCAGGTTCAGTGAGGGACCCCATCTCAACCAATAAGTTGGAGAGAAACTAAGACCTCTGACATCAACTTCTGGCTTCTGAATGTGTACACACACACAGATGAAGTTATGCACACCTAATATACAAATAAATACATAAAATTACACTGAACAGAAAATGAGTAGGTGCCCTTGTAACTGCATTTCTAGGTGCAGTTCCCCAAAGGAACTCAAAACAGAAGCCTAAACAAACAAAGTGTCCCCAGCATCACTGCTCACAGAAACAAAAAGTAAAAACAACCTGCGTGCCCATCCACAGGGGTCCTATTTAGTTCTGTTGGCATGATAAAATACTGACCAAAAATACTTGAGAAGGGAAGAGTTTATGTCATCAAAAGTCACGGAAGGGCGTCAAGGCAGAAACTCAGACAAGAGCCTGGAGGTAGGAACTAAACATAACCACGAAGAATCTTCTCACAATCTCCCTGCTCAGGCTCCTGTTTATCTCTTTCCTGCCTCCAAGGACCGCCTTCCCAGGCTGGTACCATTCACGGTGGGCTGGGCCCTCCCATGTCAATCATGAATCAAGAAAATGTCAGGGCTGGAAAGATAGCTCAGCGCACTTACTGTTCTTCCAGAGGACACAATTTCCATTCTCAGCACCCACATGGTGGGTCAACACCTTCTGGAACTCCAGTTCCAGGGTTTCTGTCACACCTGCACAGGCACCAGGTACGTGGTAGACACACACATAGGCAAAACACTATCTATCTATCTATCTATCTATCTATCTATCTATCTATCTATCTATCTATCTATATCTATCTATATATTCCTTTTTTTTTTTTTTTTAAGAAAATGTTCCACAGACTTGCCTACAAGTTAATCTGATGGAGGCATTTTCTCAATGGAGTTCCCCTCCTCCCAAATAATTTGAGTTTGTGTCAAGTTAGGAAAAAAAATAATAACCAGGACAGCAGGTGAGTGGATGAATGGCATCCTACATACATACACCAAAGGATGACACACCTTCAACATAAGTGAACCTTGAAGCATGGGGTAAATAAAGTATGTAATATATAAGGGAAGCACATTCATAAAGATAGGAAGTAGATGAAAGTTTGGGGAAGGGAGGCGGTGGTGGCAGCACACACCTTTAATCCCAGCACTTGGGAGGCAGAGGCAGAGGCAGGTGGATTTCTGTGAGTTCCAGACCAGCCTGGTTCCGGGATAGGCTCCAGGATAGGCTCCAAAGTTACAGAGAAACCCTGTCTCGAAAAACAAACAAACAAAATAAAACAAAACACACACACACAAAGGAAAGTTGGGGGGGGGGGGGCAAGAAAGGGCAGGATGCAAACCTTTTGCTTACTGGGTTCAGAATTTCTGTTGGGGTGAAAGTATTTTAGTAGTGATGTTGTACAGCATGGTGGATTTTAATTAATGCCAGCTAATTCTACAACTTTCAATGTTTTAAATGGAAAAGTTTACATTTTATATATAGAATCCTATCTTTATATCTTATTTCATATACACACAATTGTTTTTATCCCAAAAGGAAACACTCTAAAAATTCATATATTCTAACTACTATTTAACTTTGTCAGTTTGGGACAGTTCTAGCATATGAAGGTCTCTGTGTTTCTTAGACTCCACAACTACACTGGAAGCTGTGTGGCTCTTAATACCACACAGCCTTGTTTTTCTGCATCTTTTTATAAGCTGTTAATTGAATTGCATCTTGGCAAAACTAGAAAATGCCAGTTGCTTTTGTGTAGCTTCTCTGAGACTTCACTTCCTTCCTTGTAAGATAAGAAATGGTATTAGCAACGAGTTCCCAGCTTGTATAAAAGTAAAGAAAATGTAATAGAAAACATTTTGCTGGTGGGTTGAAAGCTTGTTAGAAAGTCTGAAGTCCGAACCCACACGTCCAAGTCCAAGTCCATCCTCATGAGCCTCTCTTGATGACCCTTGTACACACATTGTTTTATAATTGGAGAGGTTTCACAATCCAGTGCCAATATGGAAAGTGTACCAGCATCACCTGGTGGCTTTTGGAAACTACCCTTGTCCCAGGGCCCCCAGAATGATCTGGTGTGGTTGTCAGTCAGGTCAGTGACCCAAACACTAAAGTTTCTAGGTGAGTCAAAGCTGCTGCTGGAATTGAGAATGGCTACGATACCATACTCCTCATCCAGCACCAACACAGCACAATTGTAATGCCCTATGGTTTATTGGAAAGATAAATATTGTCTTAAAGCTGTAGGTAATAGCCAGACAGTGGTGGTGCATGCCTTTAATCCCAGCACTTGGGAAGCAGAGGCAGGTAGATCTCTGAGATTGAGGCCAGCCTGGTCTACAGAGTTCCAAAACAGCCAGGACACGGTTACACAAAGAAACCCTGTCTCCAAAAAAACAAACAAACCAAACAAAAAAACTGTATGCGATGTAGAAGCCACAGAGAATGTTCATATTGAACCAGAGGCCCAAAGACCTCTCAGTGCATTTTCACTTTATCTTTTTGGGGGAGATGGAGAAAGGGGAATTTATAGGAATTTTTTCAGTAACGTTTTCTCTTTTAAAAGTTGTGATTGTTTTATTTAATTTTTTATGTGTATTTATTTTATTTCAAGTGTATGGGTGTTTCACCTGCATGTATAAGGTGTGTGCTGCACATATGCTTGCAGTGTCCACAGAGGCCAGAGTGGACATCAGATTCCTAGGGACTGAAGTTGTGGTTGGTTGGGAGCTGTCGTGGGAATGCTAGGAATTAAACCCTGGTCCTCAGTAGGAACAGTCAGTGCTTTTAGCTGCTGAGCCATCTCTCCAGTCCTGTGATTGTTTACATGCTCTGTTTTTTCTTCCACCAATGAATTTCTCCACGCCACTAGGAAATCTTGGTAAACTTTTCAATAACCTGTATAGTATTCGGGCAAAGACATCATAGATGGTTTTACAACAGTGCTCCTACCTTTGGATACATCTACATTTTTTTCTATTTTTCATATAATTAGTAACAGCAAACATTTTTATGATAAAATTGTTCCTGCATTGGTATTTTTCCTCAAGAATAAGGCCCCAGTTTTGTATGTGATATAAGTCATTATGAAACCATTAAACTCTTCATTTGTTCATTAGTTATTTGCTAAAAATAGTTTAGTTTTAGTTTTCTCAATCAATAATTCAGCTGATGTGTTTATTTTGCTGAAGTGTTTTTTATAAAGATGCTAGAAACTTATGGCTTGAATTTCTGGATGAATAATTGTATTCTTTGCCCATTGTGTTCTTTGTGTATGGTATATGTATGTGTGAGTGTGCTCACCTGTGCAGATGCATAGAAAGACCATATGCTCATCTCACCTTTGCCTCTAAAACAAAACAAAGCAAAAATTGGAGTTGGGGGAGAGAGATCTCAGTCAGTAAAGTGCTTGTCTTTGGGTCTCTACCACACATGCGAGAACACCTATAATCTCAGCACCAAGAAGACAGCAACAGGAGCCCCGGCTCACTTGACAGCAGCCAAATGAGCTCCAGGTTCAGTGGGAGATCCTTCTCACAAGCTAAGGTGGAGAGTCCAGAGAGGTGGCTGAACAATTGAAGGAAGCCCTGCTCTTGTAGAGGACCTGAGTTTGATTCCCTGCACCCACATCCAGCATCTGGAAGCTCACAACCTCCTATAACTTCAGCTTCAAAAGATTCATCATCCTGCCCTTGTGACACACACACACACACATACACACACACACACACAGAGAGAGAGAGAGAGAGAGAGAGAGAGAGAGAGAGAAACAGAAAGACAGAGAGTAATCCACTTACTTATACATTTACCATGTAGTGGCTATTCTTATTTGTGGTGTGTGTGTGTGTGTGTGTGTGTGTGTGTGTTGCTGTTGATACTCTCATACACTTCTCATTTTCTTTTGCTTTCAGCTTTTATTCCCTTTTTTCCCTTTTCCTTATGCAAGGATTTGTAAAGCAGGCATATTATCTTTTATTTTTACTAGCTGTTTGCCTTCAAAATTGGTTTTAATTTCTGATTTTGAACCACTAGGATGTCGGTGAGTGTAGACATAATGCCTATGTGGATATCAAGCAAAGAATCGCTGACTTCTCCCAGAACTGTGACCTTTCCCAGGTGAGTAGGCGCATGAGGAGCCATGGTGAAGTAGGGAGGGCTGCCTTCTCACCCAGGTGCACCCCATCTGGAAATGGCCATGGCAGCACAGTGCCAGAAGGGACAGTGTGTGTCCTTCAGGTGCAACGCCAGCTAGTTTTGCTTTTACACAAATTGTTCTTAAATGTGCTGTTTTGAGTTGGAGAGAACTGCATTTGTTTTTAACCACCCACAATGGGATCCTTCCAGATAAAGGTGGGTTTCCCTGAGTGTTATGGTGGGGGTGGAAGCTTATGGCTAAATCAACATTTCTCATGAAAAGGGCTGGCTTCTCTCAGTTACAGATAGTTCTGCACATGTCATAACAAGAGGCACCACTGTGCACATGTGGTGATGAGAGGCACAATGACACTGCCTGTTTGAGGGATCCCCATTGGAGGGGTCGTTCCTTTAAGTTCACCAGACCCTTCCTCTAGTTACACGTTTCTCTTTAGTTTACATCAAGGATGTGAAATTTTAAACTGGGCATGGTGGCACACCTGTAATCACATCACTCAGGAAGCTGAAGCAGGGGATCAGAAGTTTCAGACCAACTTTTGTTACATGTAGAATTCAAGGCTGGCTTGGGACACATCAGACCCTGTCTTGGGGCCGGGGCAGATTCAAATCAAGTACAGCATATGGCTCAACACATCTTAAACACCCAAGTTACAAGGAAGACAAAGAAGAGAGAAAGAACATGGCTGTCTCGTGGACCACCTTCCCTTAACCCTGCTCTGGTTACTTCCTACCTTATGTAAATGAGGATGCTGGGCTTCTCTGTGACAGAAACCAGGCTAGACTACTCTTTGGTTGTACCTGGTGACTTTAAACCTATTTTTTTTTTTCAGGAGAGGATTTGGTACAACCACTTCCTGAGGATTGCCCTGGATGCCCCAGGAAAATTCCTGTAGACAGCCCAGAGGTGACAGAGGCACTTGGTCATGCCATCAGAAAACTCAACACACAGAATAGCCATTCTTTCTATTTCAAGATTGACACCGTGAAAAAAGCGACATCACAGGTCTGTAAATAGTTGCAAAAGATGGGAAGTTGTAGCCTATGTGTAGACCGATTGCTAATTTGACACCCCCCCAACCCTCACCCTGTCTTGGCTCTGGTTGGGAAACCATACTTGGTAACAGGATTATTGGTTTAAATTCCAAAGTCCTAACCCTTCTGTGTGCTTGAGTGTTTTGGACAAGTATAGTTAACATTCTCTGTTTGCTAGAAGTGATGGCACACACTTTTAATCCCAGCTCTTAGGAGGCAGAGGTAGGCAAATCTATGGTTTAAGGTCAGTCTGGTCTACAGAGCTAGTTCCAGGACATCTAGGCTACACAAAGAAACCCTGTCTCAAAAAACAAAAAGTCCAAATCAAAACAAAAGGTCTGTTTTCTACCTGAAAATGTCTGGGGCAAAGCTCAAAATTACCTTTGTTTTATCTGTTTAATTCTATTAGACTGTGCTTCCACTCCAAACTGGATTGATAGTTATAACACCAAGCTCTGAATCTCTACCTTCCATGAGTGAGATTTCTGCCCCACTGCTGCAGGTCCTGAGGCTGTGGATAGTGTTCTCTGGGGCTGTGGATGGTGTTCCCTGAGGCTGTGGATGCTGTTCCCTGGGGGCTGTTGATGGTGTTCCCTGAGGCTGTGGATGCTGTTCCCTGGGGCTGTGGATGCTGTTCCCTGGGGCTGTGGGTGGTGTTCCCTGGGGCTGTGGATGCTGTTCCCTGGGGCTGTGGATGCTGTTCCCTGGGGCTGTGAATGGTGTTCCCTGGGGCTGTGGATGGTGTTCTCTGGGCTGTGGATGGTGTTCTCTGGGGCTGTGGATGGTGTTTCCAGGGACTATGGATGTTGTTCTCTGGGGCTGTGGATGAACTAAACCACCAATTCAATTTGCATATACCTGAGACTTTTGATGCAAACTGCCACATTAGTGCTAAGGGAACAAAATGGAGAGATGGAAGGCAGTTCAAGAAAGGAACTGATGACCAGAGGTGCTCGTGCAGGCTTTAATGCCAATACTCAGGAGGCAGAGGCATGTGGATATCTGTGAATTTGAGGTCAGCCTGATCTACAGTGTTCTGATTCCAAGATAGCTGGGAATACACAGAGAAACCCTGTCTCAGAAACAAAATAAACAAACAAATATATAGATATATAGATATAGATATATAAAAAGAGAGAAGAAAGGAAAAAAGGAAGAAGAAGAAGGAAGGAAAGGAGGGAGGGAGGAAGGAAGGAAGGAAGGAGGAAGGAAGGAAGGAAGGAAGGGAGAGAGCTGATAAAAATAATTACTATTTAAGAATGAACTTTGGGCTACGTGAGAGGACCTCATGACATGGGGAGGCAAGAACCAGCCCTTGAGATAGAAATCACTAAAAAGGATCTAGTGTTGATTCTGCTCATCCCAGCAGGGACCAAATGTGCACCTGACCAACAGTGTCTGCATGTCCTCAATCCTTGTTGGCGTGGACAATTGAAAATGATGTTGCTCTGCTTTTTCACAGCACGTGTCTTTGCTTATTAGCAACAGTAAACCTTTTCCTGACTGGTGCACACTATATTGTCTTTTCTGAGATATTCAGGCCTCAGTCCACTTTTCAACATTGGGTTTTATGCTCACTACAGTCTTTATCCTTCATCTCAGCTTTACCCATTTGCCTTTTTACTTTGCTTATTGTGGTATCTTACCTATCATTTTTAATAAACTTTAATAAACAAATAAACATCACACTCCAAAATTAACCACACTCAAAGTCTATATTGTGATGATTTATTATTGTCTATGATTTATTAAAGCCACTAGATATCAAAATAGCAAAGCAGCTGTAGTAGTTATCCATAGAAGCTGGGCAGTGGTGGAATACACCTTTAATCCCAGGACTGAGGAGACGGCAAATGGATCTCGCTGAGTTCAAGGCCACCCAGGGCTACACAAGATTGAGTCAGTCTAAAAGAGTAACAGAGCTTACACCTTTAATCCCAGGACTCATGAGAGGCACTTAAGACAGGAACAGGGTCTCAGCTGGCATTGATTCTCCAGTCACTTTGAGGATAGGAAGACATTGATTCTCCAGCTACACTGAGGAGAGGCAGCAGTCTGAGGCTTGGTGAGAGCTCAGGGGAGAGATCAGCCTTTCAGCCTGAGATAACGGTAAGAGCTAATGGCTTGGCTGCTTTGCTTCTCTGATCATCAGCGGCTTTAATAAATCATAAACAGTATATTACCAACTATATAGCTTAATGAACATATGCAAATATAGTTAGTATCAAAACAGAAGTTGTGAAGCTTCACATTGTTTTATGTTTGCAGTATCAAATGTATTTTATGTACTTATTCGTCATCAAAACCAAAAAGTCCATGACAGAAGTAGCACTAAAAACCAATTAGCTTTATATTTTCATTCTTGTTCTCTTTCCTTCATCTTATACTATCTTCATATGTACATTGATTTAAGTATATTATTGGCCAGGTTCCTCATATGAAAACATGTGATATATTTCTTTCTGAGATTATGCAACCTCATTTAATATTTATTATGCATTCTAAACCCGTGTATTTTCCTGCAAATTTTTAATTTCATTTTTTTCTTCAGAGTTGAGTAATATTCCAGTGTACATATATATTACTAAATTTTCCTTATCTCTTGTCCATCATCTATTGATGAACAATTAGATTGATGTCAATTCTTGGCTATAATGAATGAAACAGTAATAAACATGGGGTATAAATATCTATGGAAGGGTGTGGAGTTCTCTGGGCATATGCAGAGAGTGATATAGATGGGTCATATAGTAGTTCTACTTTTTTTAAAACGTTTTTTAAAGGAATGTTCAAACTGGTTTCCATAATGGCTGTATTAATTTGCATCCCTACCAACAGTGAATAAGGGGTTCATTTCTCTCCATATCCTCTCTGATTTTGTTGTTGGATTGATTAATTGTAGCCATGCTGAGGGAAGAGGTGTTATCTTGAGGAAGTTTTTAACTTGCATTTTCCTGAAGGGTAGGAACACTAAACACTTTTTTGAATAGTTATTGGCTATTTGTGTTTTTTTAAAACAAAACAAAACAATACAAAGCAAAACAAAAAAACCTGCCTATCAGAGCTGGATGTGGTGATACACACCTTCAATGCCAACACTTGGGAGGCAGAGGCAGGAGGATCACTATGAGTTCAAGGCCAGCCTGGTCTACAAAGCTACACAGAGAAACCCTGTCTCAAAAAAAAAACAAAAACAAAAACAAACCAAAAAACCCAACAAAACAAGCAAACAAACAAACACACAGAAAACTTCCTATGAGTGTGTTTGTCTATTTGTTGATTGACAGTTTTATTCCCTTGGCATTTAATGTCTATAATTCTCTGTAAACTCTGTCTGCCTGCCGTCTAGTCTAGCTAGTAGAGATAACCCCATGCTGTGGGTTGTGTATCCTGCTGTTTCCTTGGTTGTGCAGAGACTATTTTCATGTAGTCCCTTCTGTTGACACTTGGGGCTGGTTCCTGTGCCAATCGAAGGCTGTCGGGCTGTCTCTGTCACTGTGTGTGTGGTTGTGTGTGTGGTTTTTTTTTTTTTTTTTTTTTTTTTTTTTTTGAGGTAAAGTATTACGTGGCTTCCAGCATTGTTCTTGCTCCTTAGGGTTGCTTTGGGTACTCACACTTCTGTAGTACCATATGAATTCTTGTATTATTTTTTCTAAGCCTGTGAAATACGACATGGGATTTTTATAGGTATTGCATTAATTCCGTATATTAATTTTTGTCATTTGGACATTTTCACAATATTGATTTTGCCTATCCAGGAACATGAACTCTTTTCTATTGTCTAGTACCTTCTATAATTTCCTTTGCTGATATGTTGAAAACTTCATTGTGGAGGTCTTTGACTTCTTTAGTTGGATATATTCCTAGATACTTTTATTCTTATTTTACTTTTGAGACAGGATCTCATTATATAGTTCAGGCTGGCATGGAAGTCACTATGTAGACCAGGCTGGCCTAAAACTCACAAAGATCCACTTGCCTCTCTGCTCCCACTTGCTAGGATTAAAGCATGCACCACGGTGCTATGCCACTTACTCTGAATTTTGAGAAATAATTTCTATTATTGCTTATCAAAATGTTTAAGTAAACATTTCTCCTTTTACTTTAGGCTTGCTCCCACTGTTCCTCTTAGGAATGTCCTTCCATATCCTGGGCTCTGATTAATATTTATTCATTAGTTATTCTTTTAACTTTCAAATATACCTGGGATTTATATTGGCATATAATGTTCTCTACTGGGAAAAAACAAAAAAACAAAAAACAAAGGAATGAACTTGGGCACTGTGGCTTCATGCTTCATGCATTGGAAACCTTGATAAGTGCGCCTCTGGTGGTGGCAGTGTGGATGCAGTCTTGAAACCCTTCTAGGTGTGTTGAATTTGCCCCTCCCAGCTCTGAATTAGGTTGAGCTGTCAGCATCTGGAAGCCAGGATGGCAGCTAACACCTATAATTCTAGCACTTGGAAGGCTGAGGCTAGGAAGGTGGTGATTTTGATTTTGATACCACTTGTTACAGGCCATAATGAGATTATGTCTCGAATAAAAAATAAAAATTAAAAACGTTGAGAATATGGCTCAATGGTGGGCCTCTGGGTCCTAGCACCCATCCCTAGTACAGATAAAACAATAAAAGCATGAAGAGCTAGAAAAGGTTTCAATTGTTTTTTTACATAATGGGATTGTGCTACCAGTATTTAATCCCCCCTTCTCTTTTTTTCAATAAGAGCTGTATTTCCAGGTCAATACATATAGATGCATTCTTTTCTATAGCTATGTAATACTCCAAACACAGACGCATACAGGGCTACAGAGTAAGACCCTGTCTGAAATAAATAAATAGATGATAGATAGATAGATAGATAGACAGATAGTTTAAAGATTTAGAGGTTTCACAATATTAAAAATATAAAAAAGCAATAGATAATCAAAATATTTTCCCTAATTGTGTAATTTAATATACATAAGAACTTACTGATTCAGTGTTTGACAACATCAAGAAAATATTTTAAGGTTGCCTTACCATGCCTCAGAATGTATTGTAACTTAAGCCCTGAGTTACTAGTGAATGCTGTTTGTAGCTTTTGAACATTGAAATTGATACGTGTATATCAAACAGTATAGCCTGCTTTTCTTCTGCTTAGCAAAAGAGGAAGCTAGCCCAACTAATATCCAGAAATCTTAGATATGTCCACAAACTGAAAGTCTGCATCAGATGGGGAGTATGACTATTTAAGATGGTCAATATATAATGAAAATGTCAAGGGAGTGAAACTCACTGGAGTGAAAGTGTACAATTAACTGTACAAATCCTTATTAAACACTTGTTTTGTTCTAAATAACTTTACAGGTGGTGGCTGGAATGAAATATTTTATCGAGTTCATAGCCAGAGAAACTGAATGTTCCAGGGAGAGCAATGCAGAACTGACAGAAAACTGTGAAGTCAAACCCGTTGGCGTGAGTAGCGTGGTGCCTATGTGATGCTTTAAGAGTCCACTTTCTCCACATGCCTCATGACTGACAATTTTTCTCTTGGCTTCTGCTTTCTTGATTAGCAAAGTCTCAACTGCAACGCTAACGTGTACATGAGACCTTGGGGAGAACAAAGTCAGAACCGAGACTGTCAACTGCCGAGCATTAGAAATGGTAGGAATTCAGCTTGGGGCCAGTTCTGCCTATTCCAAAAAGCCCTATCTAGTATTGAAAACAAATTATTACTGAAATAAACTGGGGCGGTGGGGGGTCTTTCTTTTTAAAATAGTAAGAAGTTGTATGTTTCTATGCTGATCTTGATTTTTTCGGCTGGAAAGGAGAACAGGCAAACTCTTGGTCACTGAACTCATTGTCAATGCTCTGTGGCTGGCAGTGAGGAGCCAGCCCAGGCACTGACATTAGCATCACACACCTCCAAGATATGCCTCAGACACATACAGCACTGTGCATTGTACATTCAAGGACTCTGTGACCTACTCCCCTTCCACAGTTAATGAATCTTAACCTGCATTTTAAAGCTCCTCAAAGGGTTCCCACACATGATCCAATTCTGTAGGGTTACTCTACATCATCCTTCTAAGTCTTTAAAGAATGTCCTGTTGTGTCTAGCACTTTGTTAGTTATCAAAGATGGGACACTCAGATTTGCAATTTGAGCCAGGCAATGGAGGCTCACACCTTTAATCCCCACACTCAGAGGCAGAGACAAGCAGATATCTGTGAGGTTCAAGGCCAGCCTGGGCTCCCAAGCGAGTTCCAAGACAGCCAGAGCTGCTTTACCCAAAAACCAAAATAAATGAATGAATGAATGAATAAATAAATAATTGAATATGCCTTCGAAGCTCCCTGAGTGAATCACATCACTCTGCTCCTTGTCCCTGGCTCTGCACAGCAAACTGCCTGCACTTTCTCCCCAGTCCTTAGGCAGCTGCTGTTATGTTTATTTCGCAGAAAAGCGAGTTAATTTGTACAGCATCCAGTGCAGGTCAAATCAGAGCCCACCCTTCCCATCATGGTCCTGATTTCTAGGAGATCTTGCTTGTCTCTGAAGCCGAAGTTCTTTCACCTTTGAACACTTGCTTCAGCTGTCACCTCTCACAGGTGGTAAAAGGGGAGGTGGAGAGGGTCAAGGTAGCCATGCTTTCCTTCAAGTTGCCACCTCTCTTTTCTGGTTTAGGTCCTTGTCATTTGCATAGTGTCTCTACACACTGTAAAAAGCTCTGATCCAGCTGTGAGCAAGCTCTTTGGTGGCTCAGCTGACAGAGTGGAGCTGTAAAGAAGCCTTCTAGGGATAAAAACGGCAACTGTTGTAATGGAAGTGTTATCAGTGTACCCCCAGCTATTACGTGTAGTTCAACCACCCAGTTTTTCCAAATGAAGAAAAAACTCTCAGCCTTGGGAATATTATTAAGAACAATAGTCGGGCAAGGCTGGGGGATAGAACTCAGTGGTGGAGTACTTGCCCACATGTATAAGGTCTGGTGATTAATCTCCAGTACACAAAGTCCACAAACCTCAAGAACAATCCAAAGAGAAGGCATATTGTTAATTAATTTTTCTAGAAAATCTAATATAGTATTTAAGACCTAGCAAAAATCACCCCATTGTAAACCAAAAAAATGGCATCATCAGGGTCTTAGTCTCCCTTTCTCCTTACTGACAGTGTGGTTCTGACATAACTCGCATTCATCCTAATATTTCCTGTCTTAGATTCACACAATGACTGAGAAGGCCTCCAGGTTTTACACCTTCCGGTCAGTCCAAGTTCAAAGAAACAAGAAGGAACAACTGTAAGTCCACCCTACACTTCCATGGCATAAGAAGAGCAGGATCCAGAAAGTGAAGGAAGACCCACTCATGGGCATGACAAACAAATGAGGCATAAGGTTGACCATGGTCATAAGCATGGGCATCACCAAGGCCACTGGCCCCCAAAGACATGGCCTGGCCATGGACATCAGCATAAATTAGTTCATCTTAAACCCCAAAGGGAAGATGGCTTTGACCACAGACATCTAGTGGAACATGGTCATAAGCATGGTCATGGTCATGGTAAACACAAAAATAAAGACAAAAACAAAGGAAAGCACACTGACCAGAGAACAGAGCCTTTGGCAAGCTCTTCTGAAGACAGTAGTACTATATCCTTCACACAGGCACAGGGGAAGGACCACCTCCTACGCCCCCTCCCCTAGCTCAGCCATGTGTAATGATTACCTCTTCTGACTTTCAGGACTCAGATTTAATTGATGATATGGTGGTTACCCCACCACCATATGCCACTGAGAACGATGATGATTTCATCCCTGATATCCATGTACAACCAGATAGCCTTTCATTTAAGCTGATATCTGACTTTCCAGAAGCAACATCCCACAAATGTCCTGGACGCCCATGGGAAGCCAGCTCACGGTAGAAAAGATCCAGACCCAGAAGGGGAAAAGTACTCTGAGTTTGATCTTGCTGATGCTCTTTCTTAGCTTACACAGCCCACTAGCTCAGAGAGTCAGAGAAAGCACCCAGCTCACCTTCCTCCTCCACCGTCATCCCAGAAGCCTCTCCTTGTCTCAAATAAGTCTCCTCCAACTCCGTGTCCCTCCCCTCTACTTCTTCTGCAACTATCTGTCCTTCTGACTCCCTCGTACTTTCTCTATGATTTTTTTCAAAATAACCTTATCTTCACTTCCTGTCAACTAGTTGCTTGCTCCACCTTTTGACCTTTGATTGATTTTATTTAATCCTGCTTGCAATATTCAAACAGAAAGATCTTGGATTAAAAGGTGTGCCCTATGGCTGAGCCACACCACAACTAGAAACAGGTTTTTCCAGTAAATAATGCAACCTCATGGTTCACAGTGAGATCAAATATCCTGCAAAAATATGACTTTTTGTACCCACTGGTGAGTCCACCAGGCTCCATTGGACAGTTCCATACCCATGGCCACTGAGATACTCTAGTGGTCACTAAACAAAACAAACAAACAACCTGAACATGAGAAATAGACCTGAGGAGGGGGCACTGACAAGTATGGGAGGAAAAAAACAGAGTGAAGGATAAGAATAACAGAAATATATATATACACACACACAGATATGAAAATTTCAAAGAATATATATGTGTACATATATAAACATGTATGTATATGTAAATGAATATATATGATACATATATGTGAAATTGTCAAAGAGAAAATTCAGCCTTGTTCGATATTATTGATTATAAACAACCAAAACAACTGAAGCTGGGAGATGGCTAGTGGGTTAAGAGACACTGACTACCTTTCCAGAGGTCCTGAGTTCCAAAAAATCCCAGCAACCACATGGTGGCTCACAACCATCTCTAATGTGGACCCAATGTCTTCTTCTGGCATAAAGTTGTATTCATGCAGATAGAGTATACACACACACACACACACACATATATACATATATATATGTATGTATGTATACATATATATGTATATGTGTGTATGTATAATTAATTTTCAAAAATTATCCAAATGAGAAAGAGACAAGAGTTGATCCCACACCACTGAATAAATGGTATCAAAGGAGCCCTCTCATTGTAGAATTGCCACAAACCTTGAATTTAGAAAAAAATAAAATCTACAAAATGCAATAAAGTGAAGGGCAGAAACTAAAACTAGGATGTGGTTTTTTAACAGCTATCCCCGTCTGTGAATGCATGTATTGCTGCTGTTTGAAGTTACTGTAAGCATTTGAGCTCTAGTGTTTCTTTTTTTTTTTCTCTCAAATATTGTCTATCTTTTAAAATAAAATCCAGCGCATCCAGGAAACATTCTCACCTTGTCAACTGGCTTCATCACTTTGCAAATGTTGAGCAGGAACATCAAATTAACCAAGGATTTTGCTGAATTTTTTTTACTTACAGAGGGCTCCTAAACTCCTGCGAATACAAAGGGCAGACCCTCGGGGGCAGGGGAGTCAGCGCCTGGGGAGTAAGGCGAATCTTCACACTTGGCACAATAGCCCCAGCAACGACCCCAGTGGAAGGGGACCAGAAGAAGCATGGGATGCATGTAACATGGAAGAATGTCCCTTAGTCACTCTGCTCCCTGGGTGAAATAAAATTCAGACTTGATGAGTTCACAGTGGTCTCTCTTTCAGCCACCCCCTATCTTGTAGCAAATCGAAGCTGTCACCAAAGTTGGGCCACACAAGCTCCACAACTCCACTGAGGAACATTCTCTAAATAAGACAGGCATCCTTAGATGGACTCCTCACCGAGACACCACAGGTGCTAAGTGCTAAGTGAAGGGTTAGTGAGAGGACTTCTGCCAGTGTTTAAAGATTAGCTCTTTCTTTTTCACCCTGCTCATGCTCACCAAGCCAATGGTAGGAATGATTAGACTTGCTTATTAATATTTCTAAATCTGGGTAATTACCAAAATAGGAATTAATCTATATCAATATGATGTCTACTAACTTCTCATTATCAGAAAATATCCAGTGACCACAGCGGCATATACTTGTAATACCAATAGTGGGGAGACTGGGAAATGGAGGATTACTGAGAATTTGAGGTCAGCCTGGGTTACATAGTGAGTTTGTTCAAGGCCAAGATAGGATGCATAGAGAAACACCCCCCACACACACACACACACAAAACAAGCCAGGCATGGTGGCTTGCCCTACATCAACTGGGAGAAAGAGGCAAGATCTTTGAGTTCAAGCCTAGCCTGAACTTCAAGGGAGTTCTAGTACAGCCAGGGCTACACAGAGAAATCTGCCTATCATCCTGAGGACCTACTAGAAGCAAACACTCTCTCTATGAATAGAGTACCCCACTTTCCTTCCCGTATTTGAACCCCACCATTCCAGGACCTACCTGAAACACTAGCTCCCTCCAGAGACAAAACCCTCACCTCAACTCCCTCTGGTGCTTTAACCCTGACCTAACACAGCAATATACAATATCTCTTAATTTAAAAGCTCTGGAGTGAGCCAGGCATGGTAGTGCATGTTTTTAATCTAGCACTCAGGGGGTCTTACTATGAGTTTGAAGCCATCCTAGTAGTTTACAAAGCAAGTTCCAGCGATCCAGGGCTGCATAGTGAGACCCTGTCTTTAAAACAAAAAATAAAA